TAATTAGTAGGCGTGATGGTTATAGCATATGACAGGCAACATACATTCTATCCTCCTATTATCCTATTATCACTGATAGGAAAGCTAAAAGCTAGATTCCTTGCAGCTAGGATTCTGGAAATGATTTAGGATGAGCTTTTCAGATACACTTGAGTGAGATCTAAGAAGCCAGAAGTGAATGGAAGCTACAAATCTCATACTTCTGTAGGCAGCCATCATTTAGTCACTATTTGTGTGCAGCAGCAGCAATGGCTAGACTCACTGTCTGGCCAATTACCCTGTTGATGGATCATAGTTATTTTGGAACTGCTATGTTGGTGGCCTGGTTTGTGGTGTGGTTTTAGGACTTGTTCCAGAAAGCCCAACCTATCTAGAGTCTACTTCATCAGCTTTCTAATGATTTTGTATGCCTTAGAATAAATATAGTCTCATTTATCTTGTTAGAATGGATTCTATTCCCAGAAGATGAACTCAAAATACCAAAAGACACAAACTTCCTCCACAAGGGTAGGAAAAAATGGTATTTGTTAATTTATACTACTAGCCCACAATGAAGTGTTATTTTATTTGATAATTACAATATTCTACTCATTTTTTTGTTTTGTTTTTGTAATTATTGTTGTTTGGGGGACAGGGGTCTTGCTATGTTGTCCAGACAAGTCTCATACTCCTGGGCTCAAGCAATCCTCTGTGTTCAGCCTACTGAGTGGCTGGAATTGCAGGCATGGGCTACCATATTTGGCCAAATTTCAGGTTTTTTGGCCAAATTTACATATACCCTCTACTTAGGCAAAAATAGTGTGATCCTTTGGTGTGATCCATCGATGTGATCCTTCTAAAAATTCTTGTTGGTACTCCTGGAAGCTGAATAATTTGGATTAGTCCTAATTCCCTTCAACCCTGTGGTTATCACCTACCATATACATTCTTAGGATAAATGCAATCAATATATTCTCCTTCCACTATCCTCTCAATTGGAAATGCTGGTGGAACCTTGAAATCCTCAATGTCATCTCAACCTTGTTAAAATAGCACAAAATTTAATACTAGGCCTTTATTTTCTTTAGTTCTAAAAAACTTATCAAGTAATTTGAGAGAAATCTAAACTCAAAGTATGTTAAAAAATTTACTACCAACCACAAAATTCTAACATGCAAAAATAAAAGCAAAAACAAAACAAATCAAAACAAACCCTACTTGATATCCCTAAATCCCAAAGCACCATCTTGGATATCAGAAGACAACTGCTCTATAACATTACCAACATACTTGGTTACCAGTATTTATTTATTTGTGGTGCTGGGGATTAAACCCAGGGTTGGCCTCACAAATGCTAGGCACATGCTCTACCACTGAGGTACATCTCCATCTGGTTGGCTCTTGCTATTTAAAAGGATCCAGGCAATTAGAACTTTGTACATGTCCCAGCTAGTACGACTGATCAAGAATCTAAGAAAAAGTTAGGCAATCAAAGGTTGAAGGAATTAGGCATTCTTGGAAACAGCAATCTGATATTGTATTCCAAGCAATACTGGCTACCGGATCCTTCAAAATACCCTTGATCATAAACTGGTGGCACTAAAAGACATCTCTTGTATTCTCAGTGGACAAATGTAAGTAAAATTATATATGAAAGGCATGGAGAAAATTATCAACACTGCTTTTGCCTATTCATTTTACTCCAGCAGTTTCAGAGGAACAAAGTTAAAAAAAGTGATTCTAAAGATACAGTTTTAAGCCAAACTTGGCTGAAATTCAAGGTTCTTTAGTAAGCAACATCACTTTGTTACCATTGGCCATCAGGTCTTTCCCTAAATTTAAAATGGGGCTCCCTGAGCAACCCAAAGCATGCTATCATATACCTCTCTTGTCACATGTAAAAGGTAAAATTCTCATTTATCCAAGAGGAAAAAGAATCTTAACAAGATAACTTTGATGAAAGACCCTTCCATTAGCAGGCAATAATAACACTTCACAAAACATGATCTACTTTAGGATTTGAGGTCAGAAAAGTATAGAGTTGGTTGGTTTCACCATTCTTCCCTTCAGGGCTTTGGGGTTTATGTCCATTTTTTAATGGTCACAAACTATTTGAAAACATTTCTAGGCATTTTTCTTTCCCAACCACTTTGCCCTGTCCTTGCACCCACCCTTCCACCTTAAATTCTTATGAAGAGATTTCAAAAAAATCCTGGAGTTCAGTACAAAAACTTAGCAACTTACTTCACAATTGCTCCTCAAAATTGTCCATAATGTATTTAGATAATAAATGGTGTATACTCAGAAAGATGAAGAAACATCTAGCCAAAGAAGTCTAGACATAAATCAAGGGCCCAGGAGGGCAGAGCTAGCTCTTAAACAATATAGACACCATCTGTCTTAGGTTCACAGGGATAACTCACAGGCACAGCCATCAGGGTTGGACAGCCTCCAAACGCAGGCCCAACACACTTCCATATGCCAGGGGTTAGCAATATATATCCCTCTCACCACTGTCCTTTGAAGAAAGTTCTAAGAGTTAAAGTTATCCAGTAGTTAGTAGGCAGACTTCTAAATGACCTCAGGGGAGGTGAAACTCTGCCAACAACAAGGGCAACTCCCCAAACAGTGCAAACTTTGAGAGGATCAAGGGAGGACTTTGATATACATACATGTATAGATAAAAGAGTTAAGTTATATAACACGGAACACCAAAAATGTACTTGCCAGTATACTGAGTTCCCCACAAACTAAACACGATGAAGCTAAAACCTAAAATGCTTCACTTTTAACTTAAAATATAAACTTCTCTGCTTCATTTTTATGCTATATACAAATAGAAGGCAGTTTTTAATTTTTTAAAGATTGGCTTATCTAAAGCTATGACAGTTTTAAGTTTTACACACAGAATATTTATTTGAGTAAAAGTTTTTATGGAACTAAAAAATATGTTCACAACACCAAGGCTCATTAAAATATTTTAATACTAATATACATTTTCTTCTCTCAGAAACAAAACCCTTAAATATTATATAAGTATTTAACAATAAAACCCTATTGACATAATATTCAATGCTACAAACAGAATAACCTACATGTTCAAAAATTTTTTCAATAAATTTCCTGCTTACATTTTTGGGGGTATAGTACAGACCCCAATGGAATGAGGATTGCGTCCATTAGGACAGTTACTTTTGTAATTTTAGTCTTTTCCACAGCGTAGTGTGTATGCAATCTTACTGCTGATGAAATAGAGAACTGTAATATTTTCCACGTCTTAGTAGTCTTGTAAGAACAGAAAAACATCCTGTGTGCTGCATTTCTCGAAGGAATCAGTTGTTGTAATGATCCATTGGGGCTTGTTTCTTCTGTCAGTGACTTCTGAATGTTCTCAATATGCTCATCCCCACTGCTCAATAATTGCCTAATCTATTTACCTAGGATGAGCTGCTTCTTGAACTGGAGTTGATGATGAGTATTCTTTCAAATTAATGGATGAGGTAGCTTGGTCAATGTAATCACCAAGGCTGAAGTGAAGAAAAAAAGGAAGAAAACAGAAAAGTTTTTCCTATCAACCAACATGCACATCCTTTCTACTCATCCATCAAACAGTTTTGGAGAGATAAGAGGTAAGAAAAATGAAACGTGGAAGATTAGTCCTGAGGGAGCACATGTGAGAGAATAGATTGAAAAATGTCTCACCTAAATTGTGGTTCTGTTTCTCCAGTCAGGTTGCCACGTTTTTCACTTACATTTCTATTTGACAACATTCTCAACTGTAAGAAACATTCAATCAGATAAACCACACACGTATATACAGTATACAGAATGGCACTGGCCACTGATTTAACATAGTCATGAAGTACACATGAACGTAAGGCACTTTCGCGGTTTACAAAAGTGAATGCCTCAAAGTTAGATATTCATCAAAAATGGAGAAATGTCCTCATAAAAGTTTATAGGAGCCCTGAAAAACCAAATAGGTATGAACATGAGTGATCTTGGCCAACATTTTGAAAATATTAGGACAGAGGTATGAGATAAATAATTGTTTAAAATTACAGAGTTCTATACATCAGTGTCAGGATTCTAAAATGCTCTTATTAAAACTATCAGTTCTAGGTGCTTTTAGTTTCTCAACCACAGAAGACTGTAGCAATAATCACATATGATATACAGCTGTGTGAATTTAGTGATACCAATATCACATGTTATAGAGATGTATAAAGAGATTAGAAATAATAAAAGTTTTGTTTTAAACTACTTAGAAATGTGAAATATCATGTATTTTCTTGAAATTAAAAATTTTTAACTTTCAAATATAAAATTGTTGCTCTAAGTTATGTCAGCTCTTCTATGACTCTTCAGAATTAAAAGAACGTTTGCAACATACAATACACTATACTAGATTTTTCTTCTATGAGAGACAAAACAGCTTATTAAAGCCAAAAAATTGATTTCAAGGAATAATCAACTTTTTATTTCACCTTTACCAAAAGATTCTTTTCTTCTTCTTCTTCTTTTTTTTTTTTTTAATGAGGTGAGCTTTCACCATTTTGCCCAGGCTAGTAACAACTTATCAGCCTGGGCTTAAGTGATCCTCTCCATCTCATCATCCCAAGTAGCTGGAGACTACTTGCCAGCTCCTCCCCAAAATTCTAAAAGAGTCAAGTCTTCTCTTGAAAGTTAAGGATAGATCATTAACAAAGTCAGGGATTCAAGACAGATAAAACTTCACCTTGCTTCTTCATTCATAAAGAGCATGAAATTTAATTTTTTAAAATTCTTATTTCTGTTATACAATTTTGATGATTCAGTGGGGTTTTTAATCTAAAAGGGTGACTTTAAAACCATTTCTTTCTTTTTTTTTTCCCCCAGTACTGAGATTGAACCTACGAGGGTGCTCTACCACTGAGCCATCTCCGGAGTCCTGCTTATTTTGTACTTACTTAGCTTTTTTTTTGCAATCAGGATCTTGCTAAGTATCCTAGGCTGGCCTCAAACTTGCAATTCTCCTGGCACCTCTCAAGTCACTAGGATTACAGGCATGTGCCACCATCCTGGTTTAAAATCTTTTTCTTAAATTACAATTAAAGAACACAATTAATACATTCTTGTTGCTGATATGGAGGTTATAATGCATACCCAACCCCTTCCATTATTTACAATTCAAACCGTTGCTGCACTTCATCTGCAATCATTCCAGAAATTGCAAGGGAGGAAGTGGCAGCAGGGGAAGGAGCATTTCTCACATGAAGAATGCGACTTCCAATATCCCCAACTCCTCCATCAAATACAAAATCATCTACCAGATTTCCATCTCTATCCAGAGCTTGGGCTCTTACTCCAGCTGGACCTCTGCAAAAGCAAAAAAGTAGTAATCAATTGACTCATAGAGATAGGACACTTTCTAAGTTAGTGGTTTACAAAGTATTTTTAAAGCAATAAAGTCTTCTAAATGTACAATTATATGAAAACCCAAATAGGTTTATGTTTAGCCAAAGACTGTCATCAAGAGTCTGGCAAACCTATGTCCTAACCTATAGCATAATGCCTATTACCTGGCAACGCAACAAATGCTTATCAAATATATGCACACATAGGTAAGTTCCTTATAAACATCTGTTCTTTCCTAAAGGAGCAGATAAATTCACATTTAATTAGAATAGATTTATTTTTATTTAAATTTATAAAATGAATTTGTTATAAAAATCAATCAATGACAACAATAAGGCTCTTTTGGTTAATACAAAGCAATGAAAACAGGAATTATGTGTTTCACTTGCATTCCTTATCCTTTTTTTCTTTATTTTGTCTTGATAGGACACTATTAAAATTTATGGAGTAAAAATTAAATGGTAACAAATTCTCATTTATAGTTTTTTTTATTTTTAGCAATCTAACCTTCAATATCAAGATACCCAATTAACTAAAAAAATGATAGGAAAAGCAAAAAATGAATGAATTCAGCAGCATGTTAATTCAGTGAGTCTTTACTACCTAAAATCCTGTTTTATATCATTTGAGTTCACAGATTTCTGTTTAAAATACTTAATGTTTTTAGAGTCATAAAGCACCTCCTTTGAAACTGCTCAAAGAAACTCAGTGTGAAAAGGCTATCTTACACCACCAAGACTCAAGAAATTAGGCAACAATGTGAAATATTTTTTACTGATTCTGGGATAAGTACTCAGATAAGTACTTGAGGAAGATAGACAAAATGATAGGAGAGTTAGACCTAAACCTGCCTGAAGAGAGATAACAATAATAATAGCTATTATTTACTAGGTGTTTATCTTGTGCTAGGAGTTATCTTATTTATCCTTACAACTCTAAGAAAGCTGATGCAGTTTATATTTAACAGCCAAGAAACAGAAAGATTAAGTTCCTTGCCTGAAGTCACACAGGTATGCTGTGCATTTATAGTGAAGTATATAAGAATCACAAGTGTAAAAGATACTATGATTAAGGTAAGTAATTTGCCCTAATGAAATCCTAGAGAATTTGGATAGGAAATTCTTGAGTGGGAAAAATTCTCAAGTTAAGAATCTGATATTTTAGAACACAAAAAGAATGGCCCTGAATGCTGACATTTCTAAAGGTAAGGATACCTATCAGTCTATCAGTTAGTTTCTGGTCCATCCTGCAAGTCTTTATTTATAGTTCATCTCAACTCATCAAAGCAACATTTCTCAGCTGGGTGTGGTGACAAACACCTACAATCCTAGCTACTCAGGAGGCTGAGGCAGGAGGATTGCAAGTTCAAGGCAAGTCAGGGCAATTTAGTGAGACCCTATCTCAAAATGAAAATTTTTAAAAAGGGATATCGCTCAGTGGTAGAGCACTTGCCTAATATATGTGAAGCCCTGGGTTCCAACCTCAGTAACACACACACACACACACACACACACACACACCACACCACACCAGTGCCCCTACCCTTTTTTCTTAGAAAACACTACTGTTGCAATTAAGAATATCTCTGACCTTTTCCTTGTGTCTGGCAGAAGATCAGTATGTTGACCAGATGCTGATGTTCGGTGTTAGTGTAAAATGACTTTCTTCTGTAGAGGTTTAATCAGTACATTCCTCTTGCTCCTTATAAGTATGTTGAAGTTAATACTGATTAACCACAAGTTAAAAATGTGTCTGCACTTATTTCTCTTATAAACATGTATTGTGTCCTCAATGTTCCCCATCCTCTTGCCTAAGTGTTCAAAATCTATAGTTCAAACTGAAAATAAAATATTGTTTTTCTTCTTTTTCTTTCCTTCTTTCTTTGTAGTACTGGGGATTTAGCCCAGTAGTGCTCTACCATTGAGCTATACCCATACCTCTTTTTGTTTTGAGACAAGGTCTTGCTAAATTGCAAACTTGTGATTCTCTTGCCTCAATCTCTTGAAATGCTAGAATTATAGTCATGAACCACCGCACTCAGATAAAATACTGCTTTACTAAGATCTGACTTAGTTTTTCTTTGTAGGATTATATATAGGCTTTCCCCACTGAACCCTTTGGCTTGAGATAACTTGAAATCCATGTCTTTGAGAGTATGCACAGTGTCTTGTACAATACCTCACCTCTCCCTCCATGACTAGATTGTGTCTTATACATAGTAGGTATTCAGTAAAGCTAGAAACTGAAAGTTTTAACTTCTGATTCTTTTAATACTATTTTAACAACTGAAAAAAAATGATTTAACAAATTAATCTGTAAATCCAGCTACAATTAACTTACTGCTATCTCTATGTATTTTGCTATATTTCTAGCTAAATTTAATGAGAAGGTATATCCTAAATACTTATGCATGTCCAGAAACAATAGGGGAATCTATAATTACATTCATTCATCTGAAAAGTCCTGTATTACATTATTGTCACATGGCAGGCATTATACTTTGGGTGGGGGAAACAGCTATGAAAGATAATAACTGACATATCTGGCCAGTCCCAAATAGGATAATCTAGAGTTTTATAACGCTCATGATGGGACCTACTGCTAATCTAAAAATACAAGTCCACATTAGTATGTTTAAATTAGAAGTGGTGATAGAGGAAAATAAAATAAACAATTCCAAAGTAATTTCCATACATGTAGGAATGGCATTTGTTTATGTTTTTTTTTTTTGCTTTAAATATTTATTTTATTCTTTTTTCTTTTTTATTGGTGCATTATATTTAATAGTTGAATTCATTATGCCAAGATGCACATAACATAATTTGATCAATCTCATTCCCCCGTACTTCCCCTTTTCTTCCCTCCTCCCTCTCCCTAAGCTGCTTGCTCTACTCTGATTTCCCTTCTTTATTTTCATTTTAATCAGTGTATTACAATTATATATGTAGGCAGGATTCATTGTGGTATATTTGTACATGGACATAGCATAATTTGGTAGATTTCATTCTCCAGTACTTCCCTTACTCTCCTTTCCTCCTTCCCTCTTGATCAAGGAATGTATTTTGTTCCTAACTAGATTGTGACAAGAACATTGTTTTTCTATGCATACTCCCCCCCCCCCCAGTGTTAAGGATTGAACCCAGAGCCCTGCATATGCTAGATAGGCACCATACCACTCAGCAATCCCAGCCCTCTATGCCCAATTTTTGAATTTTGTTGAGAATCTGATTTAGGGTTTAGAACATTTTGAGCTTTTGTAAATGTTCTATGTTCTATATTCAAATGGTCTAATATTTTATATGCTTAATTATTCTTTTATTAACAGATACATCTTAAAATTACCTAATAATACAGTTGATTTCTGTTGCAATTATGTCAGGTTTTTCCTCTGAATTTCATAGCTATGCTGTTATATGCACAAGTTTATTTCTAATAATATTATTTCTATACATTTTATTTATATATCATTAATATTTTAATTTCTAACAATATTTTTGCCTTAAAGTATATTTATCTTATCTGAAATAAATGTAGTACCCATCTTTCAATAAGCATTTCCCTAGCACATCTATTAAATAATAAGATCAATGGATTTCTATAGCTTGAAACCCAAGTTCTGCCTGTTTTATTAATCTTGCAATCCAATGCATTAAAACCATAAATTCCCTATCAGTATTGTGTCATGAGCATATCAGTCAGTTTTTTAGCACATTTTGTCCCATCATCCCAGATGTATGTAGAACAACCATAAAAACTTAAATTGAGAAAGTCAAACTCAGAAAGTAAAGGGTTGTATAAGTTTTCTCTCATATGTGGAAGCTAGGGAGAAAAAGAGTGGAGGAAAAAAAAAAAAAGATGTTGGACCTCTCGAAACAGAAGGAGACCAATAGGATAGAGGAGGGGACCAGGAAAGAGGAGGAGGAGAGAGACAGGGGAGGTAGTGTAAATGAAACTGACTAAATTATATTGTTATACTGTGTTGGAAGGTGGGGGAGTGAAATAGAATCTGAACAACACTTTTTAAGTTAATTTCTCAGTTTATGATTCCTGAACAAAGTTAGTGATATACTGCTACTTTCCATTCCAAAAACCAAGACAGACAAAATTCCTTAACACTTTGGTGCCAAGGGAAATAATTTTTTCCTAGTTCCTTCTCACTAAGAATGTGGTCCTTCAAGAGCTCCTAGCTTAGCCAGGCATTATGGCACATACCTATAATCCCAGCCACATGGGAGGCTGAGACAGAAGGATCACAAGTTCAAGGCCAGTTTTAGCAACAGTGAGGCCCTAAGCAAATTTGTGAGGCACTATCTCAAAATAAAAAAAAATAAAAATAAAAAGGGCTGGGAATGTGGCTCAGTGGTAAAGCCCTTCTGGGTTCAATCTTAAGTACCAAAAAAGAAAAACAACAGGGAGCTGGGATTGTGACTCAGCGGTAGAGCACTCGCCTAGCACAAGCGGGAACCGGGTTCGATCCTCAGCACCACATAAAAAATAAAGGCATTGTGTTGTGTCCATCTACACCTAAAAAATAAAATTAAAAAAACAACAACAAAAAGGCACCTTTATAGCACTTGAGTAGCAATTAAAATACAAGTCTCTAATGTTCCATATCTTGTTTTGGGTGATAGATACATAAGTTATACTATTATAAAAATTTATTGAGAACTTAAAATCTTCATATTTTATTGCATGTGAATCATACATCAATTAAAAATATAAAAAATATAAATCAAGCCCTTCAGTTATTAAGATCAGCAAATCTTCCCTACCTTTCCAGGTCAGCATCAACTCCTTTAAATACCAACTCAGTACAGGAGTTTTCAATTTCTTCCTTGTTTTTGGTCCTGAGCTACTCTTCCTTTCCTACATTCTCAGGTATACATATTTTGAAGATGTTTATTCTATTTTCTCTTAGTATTTTATAGGGTGAGGATTACCAAATTCTCTAGACTAGTGGTTCTCAACCAAGGAGTATTTTTCTCCCAGGAGACACTGGCAATGTCCGGAGACATTTTTGATTGTGTCCATTTTTGGGAATGGACAGAGGCCAGAATGTTGTTAAGTATCTTCTAAGGAACTGAAAGATCCCCTACAACAAATAATGATTTGGCCCCAAATGTCAATATATCAAGATTGAGAAACTCATCTTACATCATAATAACTTTACTGTACAAATGTTTTTGCCTTTGTGCTTCACAATGACATAGTATAATCTAGTTATCACGAATGATAAAAAGTAATCTTCTTTGAAAATTCACTCTTGAGTTCCCCAATAAGAAAGTTTCCAAAATTATATGTGGGGAAAATGGAGGAGCATGGTATACATGTCTTTATTTTTTATATCCTTACAGTGCTAACAGATATAAACTACTGCTAGATTAACAAAAATTAATCATAGAATGAATTAAAGGAGTTTACAGCTAAAATTAAAAGCCTGAGAGACAGGTCATCATTTAACAATGAGAAGTTTGTATACCTCATGCATAATTGCCTGAGAATAACTTTAAATTTCAGTCTAATATGCACCAGTAAATTATTACCTAAGTGCTCTGGCTAGGCCATGAAAGGTCACGATAAATGCTGTTTGATGGTGACTGAAACTTAAGGACATAATCTCTGGCAACACACTTCACTCTAAGTGTTGCTTCTGTTAGCTTTTACTATTTAAAACTGACTGATATTCATGACACAATACTAATAGGGAATTTATGGTTTTGATACATTGTATTGTAAGATGAATACAATAAGGCAGAACTTGCTCTTCAAACGATAGAAAAGTTTATTGATCTTATTATTATTTAATATAGCATGAAATATTCAGGCATATAACAAGGTCTAGAGAATAACATAGTGGACACTCATTTTCTTACCAATAAACTTAAGAACTAAAGCATTACAGATATGACAGAAGTCCCTATGGTACTCTCAGGATTCTGTTCCTTTCCTCCCCAGAGATAAGCCACCTACTCTTTTGAAGTATTGTTTTTATTTTTATATTACATGTAAATTCCATAACCAATATATGTATTGTTATGCTTGTTTTAAATATTGTATAAGTAATATCAAGCATATCTTCTTCAACTTTCTTTTTGTTATTGATAATTTCCTGCATTTGATAGCTAGAGGAATCAAAAGAAGGAACAAAGGAATTGCTGTATATGTTCAGCATCTGTCTCTAAAGAGGAACTCATCTGTGGTTGAGTTGAATTTGTCCCCAAATGCACCTGCCTACAGTGCTGTGTGCTCTTTTCTATTTCATGCCAATGAAGCTGTTAACTGAAATTCACACCCTTATACTCAGAGACAGGAGTCATTAATACCCATAAACCTCAAGTCCAGCTCTACTACATGAAATCCACTGACCTAATGTGTTTGCCTCAGGCATCTATGAAAGGGTGGTAATTGAATATGGATAGTGAATTCACTGCAACTGCTTCTACATAGAATCTACTGTGCCCACCTAGTGTGTTTTTCAAGAATATTAATAGCAGTAACAGAAACCAGATTTGATCAGTCTGTTTTTAGACAAAAAACATTACAGATCTACTAAAGCAAACCACCAAAGACATAAAAGGTTTTATTAGTAAGCACAAAAAAATTAAGCCCAGATATTTTTATCCCTTCCATTTCAGAAGGTAAGTAGAGGGCAAAGGAGATAAGAATAAAAACATTAGCTGGGTTTTAATAGTTTTAAGGATTCAAAGAGGTTGGTCTCAGAATGATACATTAGAGTCAGATTTAGACCAGGACTATCCCCTATGGGAGACAGCTGACATGATTATTGTTCTCTTCCCAGATACACAGTCAAGTTAGCTGACATTTTATACCAGGCTAGTTCAGCAGCTGCTAAAAAAGAGGTAGACATTTGGTGTTCTGGAAAGTCGTGGAAGGACAGATTGTAAATAAGGGTGACTACCTCCAAGTACCCTTGCTGATAAGGGCTAACAAATGGCTTGCTCAGGGAAAAAGGTGAACACTAAAAATATCACCAAAGAAGAAAAAAATAATGTGCTTAGGTAGTATTTAGGATAACTGACAGATCAAGAAGTCTTTTATCTAACAACAACAACAATAACAAAAAAAGTATACATGTGTGTCCCTTATTTTACCTAAACCCCTATAGCAAAAACTTTGATGGTTACCACACGGCTTCTTCCTTCTTTTGTACTGTTAAGTAGAGTCCCTGTGTATAGGAAGAGCCATGAAAAAACAAAAGCAAGGTAAGATGCCAAGTCTAGAAGAATGAATCTAAAAGGTTTTAAGAATTGATCAAAATATAAAGTTTTAATGCATTTATTGCCTAATTACTTAATATGTGATCAATTATTTTATACAGAATTTAAGCCAGAAGGCTTTAGAATCATAAGAGCAAGTATCCAGGGCAATTTTTTCAAAATCCAGGAAAGATGTTTTATCCTGAGTGATAGTTAGACACAAAGGCTGAGGTGGCATCAAAATAAAGCTGTGATGGAGATTTCAGTTTAGAGTTGTAGAGGCCTAGACAATTATAAATGGACCAGCACTAAGGGCCATGATGGAGCCATGCCCAATACACAAACTTCAAAAAGAATTTGGCAACTTGTTGGGAAAGAGAGCACACAAAGATGCAGTGAACACATTGACTCTGTTAAGTATGCTTACTACTCACCAGGTCAGACCTACCTCTCAAGCTCACCAAGGTCAGGACTAGATTCACAATCCTTGTCACTTTTCCTTACCTAAGTATATCAGTGATAGTAATTTCAGGGATGAATTTTTGAAGGTGCTTCACTGTTGCACTCAGAAAGCAGGCTTTATACATTTCACTAACTCCATAGGAGAGATTCTGGGAGATCAGTTTAATCAGGCCACTGAAAGTAAAGGAAAAAACTCTTTAGGAGGAAAAAAGGAATTCTTTATTATTATAAATCACCATTAAAATTATGAGATTTTGGGGTGGGGTGGGGGGTATGGCATCACTAGAAATCTAGGCAAAATCAGGAAAACTACCATTTTAAAATCAACTTTGGGTCAATTTAAGGAGGAAACTTCATCAACTGAAGAGGGAAACATCTTCCAAACTCAAATTCCCACGGGGTACTGGTTTCAAACCAGGAGTCTACAAAGGCTGCCAACATCAAGGCTTTCTAATGCAAATGTCATATGCTTTCAACACACCCAAAAGGCATTAGCAGGTCTTTAAATCAGGGCATTAAACAAGTGAGACATCTATCCTATTTTAATCATTAAGATACTCTAGTAATGATTAGAGCAAGACACTAACTATAGAAAGGATCCTCAAGACAGACTCTGTAGAGCTTGTGTATGTTCAGCATGCATAGGCAACGTACTTTTACAATGTATTTATAAGAGAATCCCCATCCTAACCCTCTGTTTCAAAATCTGTGGAGGGTGAGATCCAGGTACGGTTCAAAATGCTTTCTAGTGATTTGGATACGAAATCCTCTGGAGAGAACTCTGCTATAAAGACCAAACAAAATACCTCATGAAGGTGTTTCTTACAATAATAAAAAAATCTGCATTTTAGGTCAACACAATAGTTCTGCCAGTTTTCCACAAAAAGGAACACTTTGGACATCAGCAAATTTTCTAGTGGCTTACAAAATAATAGTGACTAGCTTAAGATGTTATTATCAAAGGAAGTCATCTACTGATTTTGACAGAACCTTTTCTTTTATTCCCTTTCAAAATCAACTGACAGCGGGGCGCGGTGGCTTATGCCTATAATCCCAGTGGCTCAGGAGGCTAAGGCAGGAGGGTCCGAAAGTTCAAAGCCAACCTCAGCAAAAGCGAGGTGCTAAGCAACTCAATGAGACCCTGTCTCAATAGGGCTGGGGATGTGGTTCAGTGGTTGAGCAACCCTGAGTTCAATACCTGGCACCCCCTCTCAAAAAAAAAAAAAAAAATCAACTAGAAGGTTAACAATATAAAATTTGGTGTAAAATGGCTCTTGGTCGTACCTTCCTTTTGTTTGTTGTTTGTAGTACTGGGGACTGGACCTAGGGCTTCATGCATGTTAGACAAGCATGAATTACATTCCCAGCCCATTTTTTAAATTTTATTTTGAGACAGGGTCTCGTTAAATCGCCCAGGTTGGCTCTGACTTTGCCATCCTCCTGCTTCAGTCTCTTAAGTAAAGCATGGATTACAGGTATGCAGCTAATATACTCAGAATTTAAAACATTGTTTTTTAAAGTTGTTACCTATTGGCAATTAAATCCTTAGCATCTCTGGCACTGAAGTCAAAGGGTCTGTATCCTTCCCGTTTAAAGGCAAGAACTGCATTAGGCCCTAGCCAAATATTCCCGTCCATCCTTGGTGTGAAGTGAACTCCTAGGAAAGGAAAGCGGCTATCCGGAACCTATAGATTCAACACAGCAAAGAATGGTTAGCCCCATTTCACATTCCATTTTATTATAGCTATAAACATCTGATTAGTAATATAAGACACTTTCTTCTATGCATTTAATTTGCATTATGAACTATATTCTGATATGCTTTTCTATTGCCGTGCTTCTGCTTAGAAATGCCATCCAGGAAACACTGATGCTATTGACATTAACACATGCTATCCCATTCTCTTCCTTCGATTATCACTTCTCTCCAGAACTAAGGATACCTGTGACTAGCAAATAAAACCAGGAAAAAAAAAAGAAAAACACTAACATTCATATCACAGACTTTTGTCAAATGGGAATATTTAATGTTGAAGCAGATGAATTTGGTGCTTTGGCATGGCAAAAAACACCAAGTAAAAAAATCAAATATCTAAATATTAGTTGAATCAATTTCATCTGCTTCAACCTCATACTTTAAGGTATTCATTCATTTCCAGTTTAGTCTGAGACAGAAAAATGAGCCTTTTATTTAAACGATTCTGTGTTCTGTTCCCAGAACTTCAGAGTAGCCATATCCCTTTTCTGTACCTATAGACAATAAACTGAGAAAGACAGTTGGGTATCTGGGATTTCTGTAAGGGAAAGTTCTCTTATTATTAGTCCTCCACCAGAGAGGAGGAAGAATCTGGTTCCTTTTTGATACACTGCCTATGATACATTCATGCCTTATGGAGATGTGTACCTGTGGGCAATTAATTACCACTTAATGATCAAGATATTAGAATTAATATTTAGGGGTTTAACCACAAAAGCCAACAGAGGAAATGCCTGCATAAATGGCCCTCCAAACCTCCTCCTTACTTTTGAAACAGATAAAAGTTTTCATGTTTTTTATGCTTATAACCAACTTGAGAAGAGTTAAGAAGTCAGAAAACATTTCATTACCCACCGGATAAATATTTCCTTTTACAAGATAGCATTTTTCTGGCTTCAAGAGCAGGTAATCTCCCCGGAATGGTACAATTTGAGGATCAGGATTGCAGCCACTTAACTCTGAAATACGATCTGAGTGAAGTCCTGCACACGTCACAACATACTGACACTGAATTTCCTCTCCCTAGTGCAAAATAAAAGAGAATGAATAGCTTCCATATATGAGAGAGAACAGGTGGTACTTGTCTTTCTGTGTGTGGAAGCTTAAAAGAAAGGTTGACCTGAATGTAGAAGAGTGATTAATAGAGGTTGGGGATACTGGATACATGGAGGTTAGATGTGATCCGTATATGATATATGCATGTGCAGAAATATCACACTGAATCCATCACTAGGTATAATTAACACATGTTAATAAAAATACAGCATTATTTTTTAAAAAATAATGTATCTGTATAAAGAGGGAGAAGAATGGGTCAAAAAAGGAAAGACACGTGATAGAAAAAAAGTAAAGTTATAGAAATGAGTTTTTAAAAAAATTTTTTTTGAGGGGCTGGGGCGGTGGCTCAGTGGGAGAGCACTTGCCTAGCACGTGTGAGGCACTGGGTTTGATTCTCAGCACCACATGTAAATAAATAAAATAAAGGTCCATTGACAACAAAAAATATTAAGAAAAAAAATTTTTCAGACAGGTTCTTGCTAAATTGCCGAAGTTGTCCTTGAACTTCAATCCCCCCACCCCAGCCTTCTGAGCAGCTGAGGTTACAGGTTTGTGCCACTGCACCCAGCTTTTTCAAAAAGAGGAAATGTGTCAGCAAAATAAACTCTTCAGCATTGAGGCGACAACCTAGAAACTTAGGATAGTGGCATACAAGAGAAGATCACCTTAAATTTTATACTTTATATTAGAGACAAGAATGGCTGACCCAGCAAAGATACTTAAGCTCCACATGCATGCTCACATACACACACCTATTCTACTAGGACCTAGGATGGAATTTCACAATTTTTTTGCTGCAGGAAGAAGCAAACTTCATTTAGTTCTGACTTTCACATCTGTATTTCAGACAGATTCTCTACCCTCCAGCACGCACCCCCAACCTCGTTTTTCTTCTCTCTCTCTCTCTTTTTTTTTTTTTTTTGACACAGTTCTCCCTAAATTACTGAGGCTGGCCTCAAATGTACGATTCTCTGTCTCAGCCTCCCAAATGGCTGGGACTACAGGGGTGCATCACAGCATCTGGTACTTCTCTAGTCCTGAGTAATAGCTTTGTTAGTCTTGGGTTGCTCCACACTCAATAATCCTGTTCAATTTCAACTCTAACTACCCTCCAACCACTTTGTCCTTCCTGATCAGGATCTATTTTTCAAACTGAGGCTACTCTAGAAATATCATCAACTCTATTCTCATTTACAAGGAGCCATTTACTCTACACCCAAGGTTTGTTTTAAGTATTAGGAGAATGCTAATCTTGGACTGTTATAATTTTTCCACAAATTTTATTTTGTGATTGTCATCTGGGTTCTTTCCTTTCCTTCTCTTCCCCCTCCCCCTCCTCCTTGTCTTCCTCTTCCTCTTCCTTTTCTCCTTCTCATTCTTCTTTTGAGATGGGGTCTTACTATGTTGCCTAGGCTAGTCTCAAACTCCTAGGCTCAAATTATTCTTCCTACCTCAGTCTTCCAAGTAGCTGGGACTATGGACACATACCATCATGCCCACCTACTTGCTCCTGGTAACTTCTTGCTCTTATTCCCAGATGACTTATTTCTGAAGCCTCAGAGTTCTCATCTCAACATTTTCTTTTTTGCCATCATCTGTTTCAGCCTTATTTTATTGAACTATATTTTTTACTCTATATGTGTCCTATTTTCCCCCTTGCTAGAAAAGTAAGCCTCTTTTCAAGAATTATATAAGTCATATTTTTTAAGAAAAATCAGATGAAATTTCTCTATACTGAATTCAAATTAGCTAGACTAAATCATGATAGTTTTGAGATCCCTGAAGTCAAAAGGGCTACATCAATGACAACAACAACAAAATGATTCCTTTTAAATAGGCTAAGGCAGGAGGATCTCAAGGTTAATATCTTTCCTGTTCATCTAGAGTTATATACCAGAAGTACAGGAAATACTTTTGTGTGATATGAATCTACCGGTTCATACTTAAAAGTCAGCAATTTTTATGTTCTGGGAACATAAAATGTAGATAAATCTTACGATAAATATATAGATAACAGCAAAATGCTTAAGATGGTACCAGCATGCGATAGTTCTATTTTTAAAAACTCAGGCAACAGTTCCAAATAAAGAAATGATTAAAAATGGTAAGTCTCTGAAATCACGTTATGCTGTAGATGAAACAATAATTAAATTTGGTAAAATATTAATTTCACTTCCATAATGAAATTTAGGTAAAGACGGTTTCCTATCTAATGTATAAATTCTTTTAAAAAATATTTTAGTTGTAGATGGACACAATACACTTATTTATTTATTTATTCATGTATTTTTATGTGGTGCTGAAGATCAAACCCAGTGACTCACATGTGCTAGGCAAACACTCTAACTGGAAATACAACCCCAGCCCCTCTAATGTATAAATTCTTAATTTGCCTCTCTCCAAAAGTTTATTTTAAATGTTTAAAATTTTTTTTAACCTTTCATGAAGTACATTTGTTTAACCTGATAGGTAAACTCAAAAACTTGAATTTGAACCCCCAAACAAAACTACAGGAAAAGGCCAAGATAAAAAGCAACAAGCAAGGGGACTGGGGTTGTGGCTCAGCAGTAAAGTGTTTGCCTAGCAGTGTAAGGGCCTGGGTTTGATCCTTAGTACCACATATAAACAAATAAAATAAAGGTATTGTGTCCAACTATAACTAAAAAATAAATTTTAAAAAAAGCAACAAGCAGGGATAGTGGCACGTGCCTATAATCCCAGCCATGTGGAAGTCTGAGGCAGGAAGAGTACAAGTTCAAGGCCATCTGGGCAACTTAGCAAGACTATGTCTCAAAATAAAGAATAAAGAGGACCTGTGATATAACTCAGTGGCAGAGTACCCCTGGGTTCTACCCCAATAACCTCCCCAGACCCCCTAAAAGGCAACAACTATAGTAACTCTGAGTAAAATATATAACCACTGATATCCCATAGACCTCTACGTGTTTTCCATTACATGATTCTAAACTCTTGTGAAAAATCTCCAAATATAAGGGCAAGCACATAAACAGATTTACAATACTTCTTTGAATGGAAACACTGGTTGTTCTGCCACTTGGGCTACCTGATCCAGCAGGTCTAATAGTAACTGAAGTGTGTTAACAGACAGTGATGTTTTACAAAGCCTTTGGCATACCCAAATCATAAAAAAATCATACAAAACTCTAGGATTTTCACAGAAAAGTTCCACCATCCTCTATAGATAATAATCCTTCTTGAGAAAGTGCTTTTGGTTTTGACTAAACACTTGACCACAGGTCATTAAGTTACCATGCCAACTACCCATTATTAATTGGATGCTATCTGACTCACCAATCCACAAACCTGGGTGTGTACAGCCTCCTTTCATCAAGAGGAAGTATACTATAGAAGATCAGGACTGTAGGTCCTGAAGGCACATATAAGTTAAAGGCAAGTGGTTTGCAATGCCTACTCCCACTAAATTTCCTTCTTCCTCTCAACCTGCACGGATAGCCACATGGAGAGTACACTATGACCAGTTGATCAAAGAAGAAAAACTACAGATATGATTTACAAATGGTTCTGTAGAACATTCTAGCACCATTTATCTAGGAGAGATGGCCAGATATATGGATCTATGCTGCTTCATGTGCAATAACTAATGGTTTGGCTGGATGGTCAGAAAAAGGAGCTTAGAAGAAAATATATGTGAATAGAACATTCCAAAAAAGCTCAAAGGGTAAAGAAGTTGAAGAAACATCTTTATTCTCATATTTATTATAGCATATTCGAAACAGCCAAGACATGGAAACAACCTAAGTATCCATTAACAGACAAAGAGGTAAGAAGGAAATCCGTCCATCTCTGATACCATGGATGAGTCTGAACGATATTGTGCTAAGTGAAAATAAGTCAGATGATGAAAGACAAATACTGTATGATATCATAAATACTGTATGATATCACTTATATGTGAAATCTAAAAAAGGGAATTCACAGCAACAAAGTAGAATTGTGGTTGCTATGGATAAGCAGTAGGGAGTGGGTGGGAATGAGGAGATATTTGTCAAAAGATATAAACTTTCAGATATAAGATGAATAAGTGTTGGAGATCTAATGTACAGCAGGATGACTATAGTTAATAATACTTGTATGGCATATTTGAAATTTGGTTAAGATAACAGATCTTTTAAAACATTTTTTTTTAGTTGTAGATGAACACAATACCTTTATTTTATTTGTTTATCTGTTTTATGTGGTGTTGAGGCTCAAACCCAGTGCCTCACTCATGCTAGGCAAGCACTCTACCCCAACCCCAAGATAACACATCTTAAGTGTCTTCATAACACACAAACGGTAATTTTGTGAGGTAATAAATGTTAACAAACTTCACTGTAGTCATCATTTCATATCATAAACATACATCAAATCAACACATTGTATATATTAAATATATATAACTCTACTTGGCAATTAAAACTCAATAAAACTGGAAAGATAAAAATGGACTTATTCACAAAGGCTGATCTGTCTACAGTCTGTCTACAGAGATCAATGGAATACCTGATGGGGTTCCTGAACCACTTCCCCCATAGAAAAGGCAGAATGTAGTTTTTGCTGGAATATATACTCACTCTGTATATATATTTGTCTTCCCTACTGCAATTCTTCTGCTGAAACCACCATCTATGAACTTATAGGACCACCATCATTTTATTTACACAGAAACATTGCTTCTAATTCAATGAAATTATTTTGCAGTAAATGAAGTGTAGCAATCAGCTTATGCTCATGGAATTTATTCATTTTGCCATTTTCCCATCATCCTACAGCCAATGGGTAGCAACAAGTGGAATGGGTTTTTGAAGATTAAATAACAGCAATACTTGAGAGGGCTGGGGCAATGTCCTCCAAGATGCTAAATGTACTCTGACTAAAATATAGCATTGTTTCTCCCATAGCCAGAGTCACAGGTCAAAAATCAAGAGGTGGAAATGGGAGTAGCTCATTACTATTACCTCAATAATTTACCAGTCAGTTTTCTGCTATCTCTTTAATCTGTAGCTCTCATGATTTAAAAGTCTGAGTTTCCAAGGGAGAAATACATCTACTAGAAAATAAGCAATGATTCCATACTATGTTGCTTTGATCAAGCTGGGGACCATGTTTGACAGAATCTCTCCTCTACATGCTTGTAAACTAAAGCTGGCCAAACAGGAACTGCATATGACTTGGCAGGCAGAGGCAAAGTGGCTGTCATTAGTTTCTAAAAATTCTAGTCCAATGTGGTGACAGACATACACTCACTGCCCAGGGAATCCAGCTCCATATCCAGCTCTATTTCCCAACTACTAAGAGCTGCCCTGGGCCACTACTTGGGTATACACACAGAGCAAAGAGCTTTCCACAGATCTCAAAAGCTTCCCATTTGAAGTCCCACCTCAAGATCTGGATGGTTGGCATCTCAGAATACATGAAGAGCCTCTTATCCACCAATTCCCTTCTGAACCCCATTTCCTCGCACAATTGTGTAAGGTCTAATTCCTACCATAAATCCTATAACTCATGAGTGACTCAGCTCCCCTGGCTGAACCTTGAGGACTCAGGAAATCCAATATTCTGTGTCATTCAGTAGTTCTTGCTTTAGACTATGTGAAAATGAAGGAAAGTCTCAAAAATAGTAGAGAGTGTAGTAAATGTAGACAAGTTGACAGAGTGATAAAGGTGCCCACACACAAAAAAAGAAGAAAGTGGATATCAGTTTTAAGAATCTTTACCTTTGTATTCTTTACCATAATTGGATATTTCATCCCTGAAAAAAAAGAAAGAAGAATTAGCAAAAGGAGGCTACCATTACTTGAAATATAATAGTAACCAATTTAAACAACTTTCTTTTGTCATAACTCAGCCCTACTTTTCATTCTGTAACTTTTTACCAGGTAGCAAGATTAAACTAGTTCATGCTTGACAATATATACCTGACAAGCATGTCTTTTAGCTTGTTTTATTTTAACAAATTTAATCTATGCTTATAAACCATCCTATATCTTGGCTCCAACAGACAGTCCCAGCTTTTCAATGAACCACAGTCCTAGAAATCATGTTGTACAATGCATCATCATAAATCACTACAGAACTATGATATGAGAAACCTTAGTGTCTTGAATGATGATTACCCGATTCCTTGCAAGGTCTGGGTTGTTTAGAAAAGCAAGAGCTATCATGACACAAAAGAATTCCAATAATAAACTAACCATTTATAAAATTTAGTTTCCTCTCAGATACACGGGAACTTAAAGTTTTATAAAGCAAATGTAGAGCAAATAAAATATATAATCTACCTGTATCATGAATATGACTTATTAAGCTACTTATGTATGATGGCCTTATTTAGCAATTTTGTTCATCATCTTAGAATTTAGAACACTGAGAGAATGATTTAGATGGCCTAGATCTCCTTTAAAATCTGTCAAGGAAGAAAGAACTGTACGCTACTTTTTTTCTCCTCCAAACTTCCCTGTAGAAAATAGAGGGCTTCCAAATCTTTCGTTTGGTTAAAAGAAAAGAAAAAAATAATAATGTCCTCAAAGCAAAACAAAATCAAAAGTGCAGTCTAAAGTGGGGCTGTTCCGAATGGCTGAGTTTTCTTACGATCTTAGTTGCCATTCTAGAGCTTGGGTATGTTCAAAAATCACTAACTGCTACCTATTCTGAGGCCTTATCCCCGAATAGTCTGTTTCAATAAGTCTAGGTGATGCCAAGTCTATATTTTTAACAAGCATTACCAGGAGATTCTGACTCTAACCTGTAGGATGGAGAAGTATTTGGGTGCTAATTATCTATAAGCAGTTGTGGCAGTTCAGATTTTAAGCACTAGTCAGAATGTCTAAACAGTGCCTAGTTCTTTCAGCACAAAACCCTCCAAGAGTTCTGGCTCTCCTATGTCCAGTCTCTCCCTTGTTCCTTCTGCACCCCCCTCTCACTCTGCACCCTACTAGCCTATCTCCTGGTGGCCTTCCTACTATACTACCCCAGACAAAAACAATCCCAAGTTTTTGAAAAAGTCAATGAAATTATTCAATAAGAAAAAACAAAGATGGCTTACCATCTATACTTCTTGGAGGGCTTTCTCTAGCCATTTCAATATCTTTTACTTCAAAATTAGTCAAGACAGACCCACCAGCTTCTTGGAAATCCTGGGCAAATGACAAAGCTACCTGCCGATAGTTGACAATGCCAGTATATGGACAATCAATAGCCATTAGACCCTAGGACAGAATTATAAAAAAGTTAAATGATACAAACAAGAATCAGTAAGGTTCATTCAAAATTTTATTTTTGGTTGAATTTTTTCTTGTTTATTTTGATGGAAAACACACATTAACACTGTTTGACAAAAATCTGATAGTCCAAAAAAATAACAGAGAAGTTTGTTCCATTAAGTGCTTACATTTGTTAATGAGCACATATATATTGTTTTTATCAAAGAAGAGAAATAACACTAGCTAAATAAGAAAATCTCTATTATCAGGAAACAATGCTCCTCTTTAAAGGAAAATTTTTGCCAGGCTCTTCTAGCTGCTACAATGATTTTCCCAGTTTTATTCATCCCCTAACATATATGATTCTGAGTTGAATTCCAAAAAGTTATGTGTAAGCAGACTCTACTGAAATGTCCCCAGTGGTGTATCATACAATGCTCACACTGAAAACAGAGCATCATTCTAGTAGCTATTCACAATATTTGCAAAGCCCTGAATTGACTGCTGCAGTCCTATCTTCAAGACTACAAATATGGAATGGAGATTTTGTGATTAAATCAAACTTTCTCTTTGGGAAATAGGAAGAATTAACAACCTATTTCTTTATTTATGTTTTTGGCCCCAAAAGACATGTCCAAACTCTGTAGATAAATGACCTAAATTCATGCTTATTTTATTCTTTGAAGTAAATGTTGAATGTGCCATTGGCCTTTTCTAAATCTGAAGAAAAGGATTAAGAGTAGAATTTCACACACTAAGTACAAACTACTTCTGGTAATAGCACCTTGGTAATGACACCATTTTCTGTTGCCTTACTAAGTCTATGACTATATCAGTTCTCCAAATATCCTATAAGAGGGTAACTGCTTCCCAGGATAACTAATGTCCAAATGCTGAGTGCAACGGTAAATTCTGTTGTCCTCTTGCTTGGCCAATACAACAAGGTTGTTGTTGCTGTTTTAAAACATTATCTAAGGGGCTGGGGTTATGGATCAGTGGTACAGTGCTTGCCTAGCATACTTGAGACACTGGGTTTGATCCTCAGCACCAATTAAATGTAAAATAAAATATTGTGTCCACCTAAAACTAAAAAATAAATATTAAAAAAAATAAAGTAATCTGAAATAATATCATTTTAAACATCTCACTCTTGAATTCACCACCCAACTCACCAACCTCATTACAAACTTAGCCCTTAAAAGCTTCTGACTTTGCTACCCAGCCTGTACTAATGTCTCTGTGTGACCAGATCATGCTAAGGGTAAAGGCTAACAAAATCAGGCTTTTTTTCACAAACTGAAAGTGACATTTGGCAAACTTCACTGTCATCCTCATAGTCTTATTTCCAGATTATGAGGGCATTTGTTAAATATATCATTCCTTCTGTTTCAATACAAGTTGTTACATGTAAGACTACATTAGCCCTACTCACCACCTCACAATCCCTGAATTACAGGTCAATAGTTATAACTTAATTTTAACCTATATATAGTATTTGGGGTACAATAACTCAGAGAGGTAACTTGGAAACAACTCATCTGTTTTGTTCCTTATTTCTGCTTTCCTTAGTCTTTTTCTTTTTCTTTTCTTTTCTTTTCTTTTTTTTTTTTTTACTGGGGTCGATTGAACCAAGGGGTGCTTTACCACTGACACACACACACACACACACACACATACATTTTTTTTTTTTTGAGACAGGGTCTTGCTAAGTTGCTGAGAGTCTTGCTAAATTGCTGAGGCTGACCTTGAACTTGCAATCCTCTTGCCTCAATCTCCCTAATTGCTAGGATTACAGGTATGTGCCACCACACTCAGCTATACTTATCCCTTTTCTGCTTCTAGAGCCAACCTCTGCTGAGCTCCAATGGAACACTTTTCATTGGAACTACTGTAATTAGGACATTATGGTAGCAGTAAAAGAAGAAATGGGACAGAACAAAGTTGAGATACATCTACACATATAAAGAAAATACTGCAGGGCAGTGGGAAAATAATGGTCTTTTTGATAAATGGTGCAGAGTTAACTGGATATCTATAGTGGGAAAAAAATTTGCCTTGATCCATATCTCACACCATATTTGAAAGTCAATTCCAAATGATAAAACAATAAAACTTATAGAAAAACACACAAAGTACCTTCCAGACCTCGGAATAGGCAAAAATTCCTCAAACAGAACACAAAAAGCGCTAAACATAAAAGAGAAACATATGTATCAATTGCTAAAATAAGTACATTATGAGCTTCTGCTAAGTAAAAAGACAAGTTACAGGAAGGTAGAAGATATTTGCAATATATATTTAAATATACAAATGACTGCAAATGCATATATATTGGACAAAAAGTCACATTCTTAAAATTAATAAGAATAATTATAAGAAATACAGTTAACCCAAAAGAAAAATAGGCAAAGGACTCAGGTACTTCACAAAAGAAAAAACCCAAATGTCCCATAAATACATAAAAATAAAGCTGGGCGCAGTGGAGGTGCATGTTGCTAATCTCAGTGACTCAGGATGCTGAGGCAAGAGGATAACAAGTTCAAGGCCAGACTCAGCTACTTAGCAAGGCCCTAAGCTACTTAGCAAGACCATGTCTCAAAATAAAAACTAAAAAAGGGCTAGAGATGTAGCTCAATGGTACAGTGGTCGACCATTCCTAATCTGAAAGTCCAAGATCTGAAATGCTCCAAAACCTGAAATGACAATGTGATGCTCAAAAAGTTTTGGATTTTGCCTGGCATGGTGGTGGTTCATACCTGTAATCCCAGCTACTTGGGAAACTGAGGCAGGAGAATCATAAGACCAGCCTGAGCAACTCGGTGAGCTTCTATCTCAGAATTAAAAAAGTAAAATAAAAAACAGTGGAGGGGGGTAGGGATGTAACTCAGTGGTAGAATGCTTTGATATACGCTTAGATAGAACGGGGTACACGTGTCTCTGAGCTTCCTTGCAGCCAAAGCAAACAGGAGAACACAATCAGTGAAATGATTCAGTGTCCATAAAACAAGCCAACTTGTGCTCAGAAAGAACAAAAATATTCTCAGAACTAATATCTGTGAGGAATTTCTCCTGCTGGTTCTCAGAGCAAGATGTTGTGTAACAGTCAACAACATATGTCCTCAACCACATCCTCAGAGGCCAGAGTGAGTGACACAACTGCCCTTCCCATAGGCTAATGCCATAAAAGCAAAACACAATTCAAAGCGAGTAACTGGAGTCAAAGAGTAGGATAGGAAAAGAAAACACTACAGTGTAGGTATGCTACTCAGATGGTTTGCAGAGATATAAGGAGTAAGTAGTCTATCTATCCTCTCAAAAACAAGCTTTTGATAAGCATGACCTGGCAGTGAGTTCTAGGTCACGCTCTCTAAGACAAATGCCTGGAGTCCAGCTCTTTCTAAGTGCCAATAACATGGTAGAAAGTAGGGAACAGGAGATATGCACTGGAATAATTGCTGGAATCTGGGGTTGAACTCAAGTCTCTGAAAGATTATCAGTGAAAGATTACATGTAGAGTAACCTATTATTATTCATATTTCAAGAATACAGATATTTTTCACCTTAGCATATTTTAACCAAGATACTCTATAGCCTACCCTTCATATTCATGCCAGGCATATCCTCCCAAAACAGAGATCAGATACCATAGCTATCCTCTTCAAAATTTTTTACTTGTTCTCCATGCCTACTGGAAAATTTTTAGTTATTAGCATGAATGCCAGTCCCTTTATATGGGCCTAATCCTGACTTTCTAGTCTTATCTCTTATCTCTTCTTACACACCCTAATCTCCAACCACACCTCATCATTGTGTTTTCCAAACATGCCATAGATATTTGGCAGGATGGGGCACAAATAGGCTGCTGGGAACATTTTAGCACATATATTTTGGGGAACACAACTTCCTATTTCTATACTTCCTTTTCCCTTTGTTTATATTGCTTGGACTTGATATTTTCTCACAGAGAAAGAAGAAATCGGGTGTCCCGTTTTGTGGTAATGCCCTCTTATGTCAGTCACTTCAGTAATCTGTGCCAGGATCATCTGATTTTATGATCTTTGCCTTCTGTAAATTAATCCTCAGCCTCCATGTAAAAGGACTGAGTCCTAAATGAAAACATCCCTTTGGCCATATGCTTTGGCCATGAGCTGATGAATCACTTACCCTACAATATGGCTCCTTCTTTTTTATATCCTCCTGCTGAATCAGTCTCAAGCCTTGGACACCATTCTGCAGGCCCCTCTCATACAGGGCCCGAAGTCTAGGAATTTCTTCTTGTTCAACAGCTACTATTAGCTTCAAAACAATGATAAAAAGCATGGATAAAGTTAAGTATATCATCAGCTATGAAAGATATAAAGTGCATGAAAATCACAAATTTTTACATGGCTCAAATAGGTTTAATTAAGAACTTTTTCTTCATGTATCTACTTCCCCCTTTCTATAGAACTTTACTTTCTTCCTTTACCAAGAAAAGCTTTCCTTTTTAAATATTTTATTTTTTAGTTATAGTTGGACACAATACCTTTATTTTATTTATTTTTATGTGGTGCTGAGGATCAAACCCAGGGCCTCGCACATGCCAGGTGAGCGCTCTACTGATGAGCCACAACCCATTCCCCAAGAGAAGCTTTCTTAAGACAATAAAATTAGAACAAATTTGCAGGCTAAGTCTGTAGCTCAGTGGCAGAGCACTTGCCTAGCACATGTGAGGTACTGGGTTAGATCCTTAGCACCGCCAAAAAATAAACAAAATAAAGGCATTCTGTCTATCTACAACTGCAAATATATAAATAAATGATAAACATAAAACAAAATTTCCCCTAAGTCATGAGATGCAGCTTCAATTTCCACTTCTATTATCATCATCTCTACTTGCATCTTGGTCATAAGTAACTCTTATTACCATTCCCTCAGTCCCAAAGGCAAGAGAAGCACAGCTTGTTTAGCCTTTACATTTTCCAAAAATGGCCTTCTTATTTCTATAAGGAAATGTGAAATATCAGGACATCAAAAGACAGCTGGTAATTCAGTGTATTAGGAAATCACTGGCAGAAAACTATCCCTTTTATTTCCTGGAATAAAATTACAAAGTATTTTCTTTGAATTCTGTTTCAGAGGAAAATAATTAGTATATTCAGTATATTCATCAACTTTATTCAAAAATCTTTAACTTCTGGGCAAAGTATCTGAAGGTGAATTTCTTCTTATTTAATAGTTACCAGCAAACACAGCACAGATGTACATTCACAGGTGCATTAGAATTCACAAGTCACTATTTCATACCACAGAGTCAACAGAATTTCATGAGGTAGTACTTTAAAAAAAAAATTTTTTTTTAGTTGTAGTTAGACACAATATCTTTATTTTATTTATTTACTTTTATGTGGTGCTAAGGATTGAACACAGTGCCTTACATATGCTACAACCCCAGTCCCAGGGTAATACTTTGAGGTGTAAAGGCCCTTTAAATCAACAAATCATTAACCTTAAAAAGAGAAGAGAAATAAAAGGACACTAATAGAAAGTGAAAATACAATTCACAGAATGGGAGAAAATATCTGTAACCCATAAAACTCATAAAGGTCTGGTTGGTACCCAGAATCCATAAAGAACTTTTACAACTTAACAACAAAAACTGTACAATTTTCTATCTTGCCCTTTTCACTTAACATTTCATCAGAGCCACTTCCCACATTAATAAAAAACAATTTTCAAAGCATCTTTAATGACAACAATGAACTTTTATTCTTAAAAACCATATAAAAAAGGACATCACTACCAACTTTAAATAAAGATTTACAAAGACAAATGCTATGACAACTGTACACCCACAACTAAGGTAATCTAGATGAAATGAATAAACTCTTGGAAAGACACAAACTTCTAAAACTGATTGGAAAAAAGAAAATGAAAATCTATTCAGACCTGTAACAAGTAAGGAGATTGAAAACTTCTCACAAAGAAAAGCCTAGGCATCAAAAGTTTTGCTCATGAATGCCATCAAATGTTTAAAAAAGAATTAATACCAATTCTTCATAAACTCTTCCAAAAAACAGAAGAGGAAGAAGAAATGCTTAACTAATTTTATGAAGCCAATATTATCTTGATACCTAACCCAGACAAACACAAGAAATTGCCCACCAATGCCCAGTCAGAATGACGCCTGGCATTTGCCAGAGGGAATGGTTGTAAGGTGACGCCAGCGAACCATTGAGATGATGATTTGAGTTAAGCTATATATAATTGCTGTGATGCTGGATTGATTGTATTGTATATTTGACCTTTACTGTCAGGCAATAGGGCAGCTCTTGCTGCCTCGGGCGCCCACTTTGGAGTTCCCTGTGAGTTGGGGGGGGGGGGGTGTGGGGGAGATTGGACGGAGCCCAGTGGAGGGAGTGTTATTTTTGTATTGGTTGTTCAAAACATTACAAAGCTCATGATATATCATCTTTCATATATTTGACTCAATTGGGTTATGAACTCCCTTTTTTACCCCAAATACAAATTGCAGAATCACATCGGTTACACACTCACATTTTTACATAATGGCATATTAGTGACTGTTGTATTCTGCTACTTTTCCTATCTCCTACTATCCACCCTCCCCTCCCCTCCCATCTTTGCTCTCTACCTCATCTGCTGTTGTTCAATTCTCTCCCTTGTTCCCCTCCCCTTTCTCCTCACAACCTCTTATATGTAATTTTGTGTAACATTGAGGGTCTCCTACCATTTCCATATGCTTTCCCTTCTCTCTCCCTTTCTCTCCCCCGACTTGTCTTTGTTTAATGTTAATCTTTTCCTCATGCTCTTCCTCCCTGTTCTGTTCTTAGTTGCTCTCTTTATATCAAAGAAGACATTTGGCATTTGTTTTTTAAGGATTGGCTAGCTTCGCTTAGCATAATCTGCTCTAATGCCATCCATTTCCCTGCAAATTCTATGATTTTGTCATTTTTAGTGCTGCGTAATACTCCATTGTGTATAGATGCCACATTTTTTTTATCCATTCATCTATTGAAGGGCATCTAGGTTGGTTCCACAGTCTAGCTATTGCGAATTGTGCCGCTATGATCATTAATGTGGCAGTATCCCTATAGTGAGCTCTTTTAAGATCCTCAGGGAATAGTCCGAGAAGGGCGATAGCTGGGCCAAATGGTGGATCCATTCCCAGCTTTCCCAGGAATCTCCATACTGCTTTCCAAATTGGCCTCACCAATTTGCAGTCCCACCAGCAGTGTACAAGTGTACCTTTTCCCCACATCCTCACCAACACTTATTGTTGTTTGACTTCATAATGGCTGCCAATCTTACTGGAGTGAGATGGTATCTTAGGGTGGTTTTGATTTGCATTTCTCTGACTGCTAGAGATGGTGAGCATTTTTTCATGTACTTGTTGATTGATTGTATGTCCTCCTCTGTGAAGTGTCTGTTCAGGTCCTTGGCCCATTTGTTGATTGGGTTATTTGTTATCTTATTGTTTAATTTTTTGAGTTCTTTGTATATTCTGGATATTAGGGCTCTATCTGAAGTGTGAGGGGTAAAAATTTGTTCCCAGGATGTAGGCTCTCTATTTACCTCTCTTATTGTTTCTCTTGCTGAGAAAACACTTTTTAGTTTAGGTAAGTCCCATTTGTTTATTCTTGTTATTACCTCTTGGGCTATGGGCGTCCTATTAAGGAATTTGGAGCCCGACCCCACAGTATGTAGATCGTAGCCAACTTTTTCTTCTATCAGACGCAGAGTCTCTGATTTGATATCAAGCTCCTTGATCCATTTTGAGTTAATTTTTGTACATGGCGAGAGAAAGGGATTCAGTTTCATTTTGTTGCATATGGATTTCCAATTTTCCCAGCACCATTTGTTGAAGATGCTATCCTTCCTCCATTGCATGTTTTTGGCCCCTTTATCAAATATAAGAAAGTTGTAATTCTGTGGATTGGTTTCTGTGTCCTCTATTCTGTACCACTGGCCCACCTGCCTGTTTTGGTACCAGTACCATGCTGTTTTTGTTATTATTGCTCTGTAGTACAGTTTGAACTCTGGTATCGCTATACCTCCCGATTCACACTTCCTGCTTAGAACTGCTTTTGCTATTCTGGGTCTTTTGTTTTTCCATATGAATTTCATGATTGCTTTATCTATTTCTACAAGAAATGCCGTTGGGATTTTGATTGGCATCGCATTAAACCTGTAGAGAACTTTGGGTAATATCGCCATTTTGATGATGTTAGTTCTGCCTATCCATGTGGTGTGTGCAGTGCCGGTGAAAGGTGGGGAATAAAGAGTTGCTGTTTGAATCTACAAGGCTTTGTGGCGGCTCGGTTATTTGTGCCCAGCCAGACTGCGGCAGACCAATATTTCTTGTAAATACACACACAAAAAAAATTTGAGTGAGGAGGGGGTGCTGGGGATCAAACCCAGGGCCCTGCACCTCTTAAGCATGTACTCTATCACCAAGCTGCACCCTCAGCCCTACCATATAAAGACTGATGCAAAAATCCTAAACAAAATATAAAAACTAAATGCAGTAATATATAAATATCATCTCATGATCTAGTAGGATTTATCACACAGCAAGGCAAGATCAATTTCACATCCAAAAACCAATGAATGTAGTTTACTATAGTAATAAAGTTCAAAACCACATAACCACCTCAACAGAATCAGAAAAGGCATTTGAGAATTTCCAGCATCCTTTCATGATTAAAAAACAAAAATAAAAACCATTCCACAAGCAAGGAGTAGAAAGGAACTTCTTTAGCCTGATAAAGGGACTCTCCCAAAGCCACAAAAACAAAAACAAAACAAAAAACCCACAGTTAGCGGCATACTCAAATGGAAAATACCAAAAAAGCAACACAAAAACAACCACTTTTACTACTTCTACTCAACACTGTTTTGGTAGTTCTAGCCAAGGAAATTAAGCAAGCAAAATAAATAAATAAAAGGCCTCTGTAATGGTAAATTTGAATTGTCAACTTGGTTGGATTAAGAGATGACTAAGAATAAGAGGCGTCTGGGTGTGTCAATGAAAGTGTGTCTAGGAATGGTGGTCCTGTGGGATGGTGAACAGAAGTGGAGACCCTCCCTAAGTGTGGACAAAGGTTGGAGGCTTGGGTGGAAAAAATATGGAAGAACAAGGAAGCAGCAGCAGATACAAGCTCAATTCTTCTTGATGGATTCTTGATTGCTGCTGCAATTGCCTGAAAACATCAGACTCAAGCTCCTCCAACTCTTTCCAAAGTGGACTTGGCCTGAGATTCTCCAGAGAGTTTCCAGAAGCCTTCAGTCCCAGACTAGGGTACCACTGTTTATCCCTCCTGTTCTGAGGCTTCAGCATCTTGGACTGTTCAGCTACTGGTTTCTTATCTCTCCAGCCTACAGTCAAGGGGCTACCCAGCTTCTGGTTCTGTAAGCCAAATTATTAAGTTCCCTTTTTATAATCATATGTATAATATATATATATGTGTGTATATATGTATACACAGATAGATAGATGTCTCCTGTTGGTTCTGTTCCTCTAAAGAACCCTAATACAGCACCCAAACTGAAAAAGAAATAAAACTTATTTGTAGATGACATGATTTTTCAGATAAAAAAGCCTATGAAATACATACACCTATACTCACACAGTCATACACAATTAGAACTAATAAATTAGTTCGGAAAGACTTCAGGATTTAAAAAAAAAGTCAATATACAAAAATTAATCATAGTCTATATGTTTAGCAAAGAATAATCAAAAATAAAACTAACACAATTCCCTCACAAAAGCGTCAATAAGAATAAAACAATAAGAAACAAATTTAATCAAAAGAGGGTGTAAGGTCCTTGCTTAAGTGACAGCCACCATTTTCCCACTCAAGGACCTTTCCCAGAGAGGATCACCACTCCCTCATACCAACCCAACCCTTCACCAGGCATTCTTTCCTGCCCAAGAACATATTACCACTCTCTCATATCAACCCCACCCTTAAACCCACCCTCATTAGGTCCTGCCCAACTCAGATCCCTGAGCCTGGCCATAAAAGTGCCAAAATCCAAGCCTGTCCAGCCTCTTTCTATCTATGGAGATATGGCCTTTATTTATCAGCTCTGATAAATAAACTCTCTTATGTATCTCTGCCTGGTCTCCCTCTTTCATTTAATTTCTGGCTCGCCTGGCTTCTGCTTTCTCACTTTCAGGGCAAGACTGGGACTGGGGTTGTAGCTCAGTGATAGAGCACTTGCCTAGCAGCATGAGGCTTTGGGTTTGATCCTCAGCACCACATAAAGAATTGATTGTTATGGTATCATAGGGCTTATGTTCAAGTAATTCTTATTTAACTTAATAATAGTTCCAGGGGCTCCTGGCTCAGGGGTAGAGCACTTACCTAGAATGTGTGAGGCACTGGGCTTGATTCTCAGCACCACATATAAATAAACTTTAAAAATAAAGGTCCATTGACAACTACTTAAAGAAGGCAAGACCTATACACTGAAAACTATACAACATTGTTGAAAGAAATTAAAGAAGATCTAAATAAGTGAAAGAAATCCTGTGTTCACGGACCGCAAGATTTTATAATGTTAACATGGCAGTATTCTCCAAATTGATCTACATAGTCAATGTAATTCCTATCATAATCCCACCTGCCTTTTGGGAGAAATTGACAAATTGCCCCAAAAATTTGTTTAGAAAGGCTGGGGTCCCAGAATAGCTATACTAATCTTGAAAAAGAAAAAGTTGGAGAACTCAACTCCTGTACTGGCATAAGGATACACATATTATCGACGGAACTGAGAATCCATAAACATTTTTTGTTCAATGGATTTCTAATAAGGGTGCCAACACAATTAATGTAGAAGGAATAGTCTTTCCAACAAATGATGCCGACACAACTAAGTATCTATATGCAAAATATGAAGTTGAACCCCTCCCTCATACCACATATCAAAATTAATTCCAAGGTGATCATAGACTTAAACATAAGAGCTAAGGCTGGAAAACTCTTAGAAGAAATTACTGGAGAAAACCTTTATGATCTAATGTTAAGCAATGACTTCTTAGATATGATATTAGAAGCACAAACAACAAAAGAAAAAAGATAAACTGGACTGTTATGGTTTGGATATGAGGTGTCCCCTGAAAACTCCTGTGTTAAGGCAGGAAGTTCAGAGGTAAAATTGTGAGAGACATAATCTAATCTAGTCTATCTTACTTTGACTAAACTAACTGGGTGGCAACTCTTGGCAGGTGGGCATGGCTGGAGGAGGTTGGTCACTGGGCATTGGGTGCATGACCTAGAAAGATGATCTTCTGCTTTCTCTGCTTTCTGGCTGTCCGGAGCTGAAGAGCTTTCCTCCACTGTGCCCTTTGGTCATGAATATTCCTCCTTATTTTTGGCCCAGAGCCATGGAGTCAGCCAATCATAAACTGAACCTCGAAACTATGAGCCAAAATAAACTTTTCCTCTTCTAAGTTGTTCTTGTCAGGTATTTTGGTCAATGTATGAAAAAGCTGATTAACACACTGGACTTTATCAAAATTAAAAACTTTAGTGCTTCAAAGGACACCATCATGGAAGTAAAAAAGAAAAACCTACAGAATGGCATAAAACATTCCAAATCACCTGGGTAATACAGCAGTTCTCCCTTATCCATAGTTTCATTTTCTGATGTTTTAGTTATCTGCAGTCAACCACAGTCCAAAAATATAAAATGAAAAATTCCAAAAATAAATAATTTAAAAGTTTAAAACTGCATATCACTCTGCATAGCAGGATCCAATCTTGCACAACTCTGTTCCACCTTGTCTAGGATATGAATCATTCCTCTCTCCAGTGTATCTATATTGTATACACTATTCACCCATTAGTCACATTGTAGCCATCTCAGATACCAGATTGACTGTCATGGTATCATAGTGCTTATGTTCAAGTAACTCTTATTTTACTTAATAATAGCTCCAGGGGCTCATGGCTCAGTGATAGAGCACTTGCATAGTATATATAAGGCACTGTGTTTGATTCTCAGCATCACATATAAATAAATTTTTTAAAAAAGGTCCATTGACAACTAAAAAATAAGTAATAGCTCCAAAGCACAAAGTAGTGATATGGCAAGTGTCATCTCACATCATCACAAGGATGAATACAGCACAATAACACATTTGAGAGAGAGACTAATCACATTCACATAACTTTTATCATGACTTATTGTTATAATTGTTCTTTTTATTTGTTATTATTATTACTTTCTTACTTTGCCTATTTTTACATTAACTTTTGCATATGAAACATCAAGGTATATTTAAGATTCAGTGCTATGCAAGGTGTCAGGATTTACAGGGAGTCTTGGAAAGCATACTTTATGGATTAGAAGGGAATACTGTATCTAGAACATATATAAGAACATATACTGCTCAACAACAAAATAACAAGTAGCTTAATTTTAAAATGATCAAAAGATCTGAATATACATTTTTCCAAAGAAGCTATAGAATGACTGAAAGCACATGAAAAGATGTCAAACCAGATCCAGCAATCCCACTACGGGGTATATACCCAAAGGAAATGAAATTGAAATGTCAGAGAAATACCTGTACTCCTACATTTATCATATCATTATTCACAATCTCCAAGACATGGCATCAACCTAAGTGTCCATCAATGGATGCATATATAAAGAAAATGCAGCATATTTACACCCTAAAAAGGAAGGAAGTCTTGTCATTTGTTGACAATAAAATGACCCTTGAAGACATTATGTCTTCACATCATCAAGTGAAATAAACCAAGCACAGAAAGACTTATACTGCGTGATCTTAAAAGTAGAGAGTAGAATGGTGGTTACCAGTGGCTGGGGGTGGGTGGGATTAGAAAAATGATGGTCAAAAGATACAAAATTTCCGTAAGACAAAAGGAATAAGTTCAGAAGATCCATTGTATAAAGTGGTGACTATAGTTACTAACAATATACTATATTCTTGAAGACTGCCAAGAGAGTTTAAGATTTTTAAAATGATAAGTATATGAAGGCATACATGTTAGCTAAATGTAGTCATTCCACAATGGCTATGTTATCATGTACATATACATACTCATGTACATGATGCACACAATATGTATAATTTTGCCAATTAAAAATAAATTAATTTAAAAAAATGTTTATCAACCTCATTAATCATTAGGAAAATACAAATCAAATCCACAATGAATACAACTTCATATCTACTAGAATGGTTAAAACACAAAGACAATAACAGGTATTGATGAGGATATAGAGAAATTGGAATCCTCATTAATTACTTGGGGAAATGCAATGTAATACAGCATTTTAGAAAAGAGTTGGGCAATTCCACAAAATGCTAAAGATGGAGTTTCCCATATGACTCAATAATTCTACTCCTAGGTATATAACAGGGAGAAATAAAAACATGGTCCCATAAAACAGGTACAGAAATGTCCACAACAATATTCACAACAGAAAAAAATGTGGAAACAACTGAAATGTCTATCAACTGATAAAGCAGATTTAAAAAAAAACCCCAAATGTGGCACATCCATACAATGAAATATTTGGTCACAAAAGGGAATAAAGTGCTGATTCATGCTATGACCTTTGAAAACACTAAGTTAAATCAGTCATAAAAGACTACATGAAAAGATGCCCTGACATGAATTCTACTTATATAAAATTAACAGAATAGGCAAATTCAGAGACAGAACGTACATTAGTAGTTGCTAAGGGATCAGGGAAGGTGGAAATGGGAGTGACTGCTAATTGGTATGGGGTTTCTTTTTGGGGTGAGGAAAATATTCCAAAATTAGATAGTGTTGTGATGGTTACGCAATTTTGTGAATAGACTAAAAGCTGAACTGTACACTTTAAAATTGTAAATTACATATTAATGAAGCTATTATTTTAAAAGTTACATGGAATTAGTCATATCATCATTTTTTGTTATTCTCTAATACTAGATTGCACAAATTATATAGATACAGGAAAAGTTTTAAAAATTTTTTTAAAAATTCAACATTAAAACATCAGCAAGAAAAGGCTAATAATTACACATAAGTCAAGGCCATAGTAAAATATCATACCTTGCCACACTGCTTGTAGGAAATTCCCTTCTTGTTACAGTACTCATAGATGAGGTCTGCACCTTGTACACACAATTTAGCTTTTAGAGATTCAGGTTTATAATAAATTCCACTATGTATGACACCACTGTTATGTCCAGTCTGGTGAGTAGCTACAGAACAAGAGAAGCAGCGTAAAGAGAAAGTCCATGACTCACACAAAACCTAAAAGGTGAGGAAACAATTACAGTTGATGCTACTAGATACCAAATCATTTAAAATTCTACTTCAATTTTTTCAGTTTACTGGTAATTTCCTCTAGCAGCTGTCCCTGGTATCCATGTCACATTGCTCCTGCCTATCTCTGATTTCAACTATAACTCACTTCTCTAGAACCAGCAAACCACTTACCAATAGGACTCTCTGCACTCTGTCCCAAGATTTTTTCTATCTTTTAGGGGAAGGGTAGAGGCTGTTCCACATCACTAGGGACAATCCGCAAGCAAAAGAGACAACAATTGATAGATAAACAAGCACAATCCTAGAAAACATTACACAGCTCTTTAGAGGTCCCAGTGGAATCAAGCTCACAGAAGCAACTTCAATAGGCACCCTCCTTCCTTGTCTTACTCTCTCCATCCCCTCACTCCTTCCTACCTCCTCAGATAACCTCTCAAATAAATTACCCACACACAAGTTCTTGTTCCAGGTTCTACTTTTAGGAGAACCCAAAATAGGCTATTAACATTGACATTTGGCATGATTGATTGTACTGACAGAATGAACAGGTGTATAAGCAAGCCAGAAGATCAACACTGATAACATACATACCTAAATCTTTCTCCTTTTCCAGAACACCAATTGAAAGTGCAGGATGTCGCAGGATAAGTGCTCTGGCAGAGGCAAGGCCCACAATTCCACCACCAACAATGACTATATCAAATGAGCTTTAAGGAAAAAAAAAATGGCATTTAAAGAAATTTGTTTATAGTAGATATCACCAAACTTCACATGCACAATTTTCATCATTAGCAGACAATTAAACTATTAATTTATAATAATTGAAATAATATGCATTTAGTTTTTATGCTATTTGGTTTCACTCTCATGTAAAATCACAGACAATGATTGTCAGTAGATTAATTACAGTCTATTTACTGGCAGGGAGGATGGTTGGTCACCTAAGCTGCACTGTCTCTACAGTACCCCACTTGGCCAGTTACATCAGTGATGACTTTTGTGTTAAGCATCATACTTTCTTTACCACCTATCCTTTCAAAATTCAAATGCAGTATTCTTGAGGACAGCCTAACACATTAAGCCTTTAACATCTTTCTGTGCCAGGATTTATACATTTTTTTTTCTGTTGAAAAGAAAACAGCAGTAGGAATTTTGTGAAATAGTGGGTCCAGAATATGCTAGAACCACTGAAGTAAGACAATGCAAATTAAAACTACAATGAGATATCACTATATCTCTGTCAGAATGACTAAAATGAAAAAGTGAAAACACCACATGCTGGTGAGGATGAGGAAAAACTGGATCACTTACAGATTAATTACTGCCACTCCCAAAGAGTAAGGCGATTTCTTTAAAAAACCAAATATGCACTTACTACATGACTCAGCAACTGCATCCTTGAGCATTTATCCCAAAGAAATGAAAGCTTATGTTCATAGCAGTTTTATTCATAATAGGCAAAAACTGCAAACAGTCCAGAGGTCCTTCAACTGGTGAATGGTTAAACAAACTGTAATGCATCCGTGCCACGGAATGCTATTCAAAAATGAGAAGAAAAAAAACCCACTATCAATATTGGCAACATCTTGGATTGATAGATCTCAAGGACATTATGCTGTGTGAGGAAAAATTAATATCAAAAGATTACACACTGTTTTTTATTTATATATCATGATCAAAATGACAAAATTACAGTAATGGAGTATGGATTAGTGGTTGCAAAGGGTTAGGAAGAGTGAAGTCGTAGGGTGTGAATATGAAGGGGATATGGAACAATTCTATATCTTAATTGAGGTTCTTGTTACACAAAGAAACACATATGATTAAATTGCATAGAAAGTGCATAAATTGTATGCAAATACACAAACACAAAAATGAGTGAATGTAAAAAACTAATGAAACCTGTACAAGGTCTGTGGATTGTGCCAGTATCAAATCAATTTTCTATTTTTGATATTGTTCTACAGTTCTGTAAAAATGTTATCATTGCCGTAAAAGTGTGAAGGCTCTGTACTATTTTTGCATCTTCCTATGGATCTATAATTATTTCAAAATAAAAAATATTTTAAAAATTTTCACTAAACCTACTTTTCTTCCCTTAAGAAAGGCTTCCCAAAAGAATGGTCTACTTATGGCACAACCAATCATTGACACTGTTAACTCCTGTCCCTTTCCAATTCACTACCACATAGTAACCAGAGTCATCAATTGAAACAACATTAACCTCTCCCCTATTTTAAACCTTTTTAATAGTTTCCCATGGCTCTTAAATAAAAATCAGTGTGTAGTTAAAATTAAATCTCTGTTGTAACATAGCAGGTGTCATTCCATGCTTCCTGTCTTCCACTAAGCTCCAGTCATACTCATTATTGCCCACCTTCTAATCCTCAAAATAACCAAAAGCTTTCCACCCTTAAAGCCTTCACACAGACTGTTCCTTCTAGGAGAGGATAGAAAGACAGTGGTTTCAAATGTGAGCTCCAAACATCAAATTACAGGACACTGAATTTTACTGGTTTTTAATAGGCAACGGAGATGCTTCGCACAAGGACAAATGGCCGATTTAAGCCCGATCCAAGCAACACCAGGGATACCAGCTAATAAACAGTATATTTGATTGTTTACAGTGTGTTACATCTTTTTATCCTCAAAACGATCGCGAACAGGAGAGACGAAGATCCTATTCACAATTCAGACTTTTAATTAACCCGCCTATAGTTGAACATAACGTTGGAAGGGTGTATGTAAAGCCAGACCTGTTCCTGACCTACACTCAACACTGTCTCTCCTCCGGCCCATAAATACAGCGAATAAACTCGCAGCTCCATAGCTCCTAAGATCCAGCTCTATAGGATCCGAACCTTCTCCCAGGCCCCGCCTGACAAGGAAGTACCAGTAGGTGTATAAATTCAGCACGAGGCAGCACTGAAAACAGCAACAGCGCAGGCGGCGAGGGCGGGTCATTTGCCACTCACCTGCTGCTAGCACTGCGGACACCCCCGCAAAGCGGCCAGGGCCTTCCCGACGCCGACCCGCACACCCCGGAGAAGCTCCCGGGGAAGCCCCCACGGGCCCGTCCGCAGGCACCCCCCAGGTAACGCAGCACCGGTACCATCGCCTGCACCCACACCCCTTGCTCGGCCCCTAAAGGTGGCAGCTTTAGCCCAATAGTGCCTGGGTCCCGCTACTCTCTAACCCCGCCCCTCAAGCGGGGACCAATGAGACGTGCGTTTTCACCACACGTGGGAGCGGCGGGCGCCTGCCAATGGGCGCGCGCGGCGGAGGGCGAAGGGCAGGCCGGCGCGCCGTAGACGCGTGGATGCCGGCTCGCTCGCTCCCTCCCTCCCTGCGACGCTGTGAGTAAAGGACCTAGGCCCGGCGCGGGGCGGGACTAGGATAGTGGTTATGCTCGCCCCTTTCCCTTCTCCCAAATCTGGCTAACTGAGAAGCGAGCCGGGCAAATCTCGCGTCTTCGACTTTGACCGCCGAGCGGATCGGGCCTCGGGGAGAAAGCCTGGGAGTGATTACGGCCCGCCCCTGGGCTGCTGGAGGGTATTGCTGGGCGGACGCTCCCGGCCCTAGCCCTGGGGGCTTTTTGTCACGGCCACGCCCAATAGCCGGCTATCTCCTGGACTTCTTGCCTGACTGTAGGCGGTGCCATTCATTCAGTTATTGATTTGTCTTGTTAATACCGAGCGCCTACTATACTGGACCGAGCACTGAGTACTGGATGGCCAGACAGTTTAATCTCGCCATCATTTAGCGACCTGTGTCCTTTTCTCAGTTTTAAAAATGCTCTCTGGAACTCGGAACAGCGAATCACCTGTGCATGTCACTTCATCGCAGTCTCCTTATCTGTAAAATTAAGGCGATGGGCTATGTAATCTCTAAAGGACCTTCTAACTGTAAAATTATGTGATTTTTTTTTCTACCATCCCAGTATAATACTTAATTATCTCTGCTTTGTGACAGTTTTTAAATTTTTAGGATCAGGAGAACTGATAAAATAGAACGGTATAACTTTATTGCTGGGAGGACTTAAGGGTATTTTTCAGTCATTAGATACCTCTGGGAAGTCACTTCACCTCTTTGCCTCAGACCCTTCTCTGTGAACATGGGTCTTTTAGCAGACTGTTTGAGAGAAGGCTCATCAGATCTTGAGCACAGTGAAGCACACAATTGAAAAGAGAAGATGGCTATTTTAAAAATTCAACATATCTTGAGATATTGGTAGTGTCTCATGCAGTTCAGGAAATAATAGAGATCCTGCATACCTTTTGCCCATCTTCCCCAATGATAAACCTTGTAAAACTATAGTACACTATCACAACCAGGTAAACTTATTCAGATTTCCCTAGTTTTACATTTGTGTGTGTTTCTATAAATTACCATCATGTGTGTAGATTCATGTATCTACCAACAGGTCAAGATACAGCACAGTTCCATCACTACAAGGAACCCTCCAGATGCCTTTGTATAAACTACACCTTTCCCTCATAGCCCTCCCTCAAATTTTTTCTTTTTCCCTTCTAACATTTTGTTATTTAAAGAATATTATGTAAGTGTAATTTTACAGCATGTTAACTTTAGGGGATTGACCTTTTGTATTTAGTGTGATCCCTTGACATTCATCCACATCATTGGGTATATCAAAAGTTCATTGCTTTTCACTACAGAGTACCAGTTCATAATATGAATGTACTATAGTATGATTAACCTTTCACTAATTGAAGGACATCTGAGTTGTTTCCAGATTTAGAGTGTCATAAATAAAGCTGTTATGAATTTTATTGTACAGCTTTTTTGTGTGAACCTGTTTTTATATCTCTAGGATAAGTGTTCCAAGAGTCTGATTGTTGGGTCGAATTGCAAGCACATGTTTAATTTTGTAAGAAACTGCCAAACTGTTTTCCAAAGTGGCTGTACCATTTTATATTCCTACCAGTTATGTTTGATCCAATTCTCTTCATTGTCACCAGCATTATGTGTTCTCACTATTTTTTAACTTTTAGCCATTCTGATAGATGTGTATGGAGGTGGTTATTTTTTTATTTTGCACAGGGTATAGTTGATTACAGAATTATGTACTTGCAGGGGCCAGTTTTTTCCCCCCATAGGCCATTTGGGCCCATAGTAGTGTTTTGTTTTGTTTTGTTTTTCAATTGTGAATTCGAACATGTGCTTCTTAGTTTAGCAAGGGTGAAAGTACTCAGAACACACATGCCCTTTCATAAAATTTTCTCTGCTTGCTCTCCCTCACAATTTGAATAGTAGTTTATTTTGGTTAAGTAATTTGAATTCAAGAGCTTGTCTTGCATTCATATACCCTGTAACATTTGTGGGTAGAAACTTTTGTATTCCTGACACTACCTTTCTTTAGAGTTCATGTTCAACTTGTCTATGTAACAAGTTAGTCAATAAGTGCCATTTGATAGCCTCAGAACAGTATTGGGGATCTTTGATTCCAACTCCTAATGAATTGCTCTGTTGATCTGTTTCATTTGATTCTAGATACCCCAATAATAAGAACTAGAATCAACAATGGGTGATGTACAGCGCTACAAGGTTGTAACTAAGAGAAAAAAGTCCCTCATCCTGTTGCCCACTCCCCTTTACCACTCTCAAGAATTAGTTGTGTGTTACTGGGAATTGAACCTAGGACTCTTTTTTTAGGGGGGGTGCGTACTGGGGATTGAACTCAGGGGCACTGAGCCACATCCCCAGCCCTATTTTGTATTTTATTTAGAGACAGGGTCTCACTGAGTTACTTAGGGCCTCATTAAATTGCAAAGGCTGTCTTTGAACTCATGATTCTCGTGTCTCAGCCTCTCCAGCTGCTGGGATTACAGGCATGTGCCTGGCTGAACCTACGACTCTCTACCACTGTGCAACATCCCCAGCCCTTTTTAAATAACCCAGTCAGTAATTGAATTTAATATATTAAATCATAACTTTCAGTTTAAAAAGATCTTACTGCCTTCATGAAAACAAGGAAACTCTCAATCAAACCTACTCATGAAACACTTTGTATATATCCTTTTTATTTTTATTTTATGTGGTGCTGGGGATTGAACCCAGGGCCTTGTGCATGTGAGACAAGCACTCTACCAACTGAGTTTTATCCCCAGCCGATTTTGCATATATCTTATTGTGAATAATACATTAGAGGTGTGACTGTCTCTAAATCACAAACATAATTGCAGCTTTTAGAAACACTGCTACAAACTTATGGCTCTAAACCATGTTCTGATAGCAATAAATTTGTTTTGTTTTGCATAATTTGTATTCCTGGGTTATTTATGGCACCAGTAATTCAGTACTTATTTTCTAACTTGGTTTGTAATTGTTTTCTTTCCATTTTATCAGAGCCAGATACACTAACTCACCACCAGAGGTCCTCTTTCCCTATAGAAAGCATTCTCAGGGTAGCTGCTGCTTGACGCTGTAATTCCCCAAGTCTCAAGTAGCAAAAGTTGTAATTAAGAATGTAAACAAACAAACAACAAAAAACCCTACTGTTTGTTTTAACCTTTATTGCCAAGTATAATTTAAATTTTCATGTTTAAATTATTTAAAATATAAAACGAGTGTTTTTAGAGGTCATAGCTGATGTAAATTAGGCCTTCCCTTTATTTATTTTTATTTTTTTTAATTTTTGTTGTTGGTTGTTCAAAACATTACATAGTTCTTGATATATCATATTTCACACTTTGATTCAAGTGGGTTATGAACTCCCATTTTTACCCCATGTACAGATTGCAGAATCACATCAGTTACACATCCATTGATTTACATATTGCCATACTAGTGTCTGTTGTATTCTGCTGCCTTTCCTATCCTCTACTATCCCCCCTCCCCTCCCCTCCCCTCTTTTCTCTCTACCCCCTCTCTTGTATGTAATTTTGTATAACCCTGAGGGTCTCCTTCCATTTCCATGCAATTTCCCTTCTCTCTCCCTTTCCCTCCCACCTCTCATCCCTGTTTAATGTTAATCTTCTTCTCATGCTCTTTGTCCCTACTCTGTTCTTAGTTACTCTCCTTAGGCCTTTCCTTTAAACTGAATTAATGGGCCAAAATAAATCAAGTGAAAGTATTCAATTTTCAAAGACCACATCACCTACTTAATAACAGTTTCTTTGGTTTGACTTTTATCCATGGAAATTTGTCAACCATTAAAGACTTTCTTAACAAATATTTATTAAACTTTTGCATTAAGCTGAGGAAAATAGAAATGAATGAGACCTTTGGTCTTCCTCCTCCTCTGCATGCTTCTTTTTTTCTTCCTAACTAAAATTCTTAGTCATTAAAATCCATCTCAAAAGACACCTCTGGTGTGAAGCTTCCCCTCACTCCCTTTTCTATGCTCATGTGGCACTTGTTCACACCTCTCTTAAGATTCCATGTTGGATATTATTTGTTTACATGCCATTTATCTTCTTTGTTATACTGTACATTTTATGAGGACAGGAACCAGGACTTTCTCTCTTCTCTATAGCTTTTGTTATTGTTTTGTCTTACGATTATTATTATTTTTTTTGCAGTAAGAATAGCAGACATTCAATAAACATTTATTAAGTGAATGAATGAATGAGTGGATAGATGTGGCATTTGAGTAACTTCTTGAGATTGGGTAAGGTTTCAACAGGATTGGATGGAAGGTAAATAAAGGGAATAACCTGTGTAGAAGCTGGGAAAGCCCAGATTGAAAATGAGGTTGGCAACCAATATAGTTGTTAAAAAGACAGGTGTAGGTGGAGAGTGCTTTAACAAAAAGCTGAAGAGCATTGAGAACATTGGTAGTAGGGGCAGAGGTTTGTAGTAATGAAGACAGAGTGATGGTGGAAACAAAATGAAGTGGGAGCTAAGGATGTAGCTCAGTGGTAGAGCACTTGTCTAGCATTCATAGATCCTGGGTTCAATGGATAGCAACATGGCGTGGGGAAAGAGAGAAGAAATAAAGAAGGCAGTAGGTGATTCCAGGGTTCTGTCCTCAGTCTTCATTTCTCATTGTTCCATTACCTCAACATCCACAGTTACTTCCTCAATTTCTTCCTCTTTAGTTCTAGATCATCTGATGATTAAGGAAAGGTCCCTGTATTGGTTGGTTTTAGAGAAACTGGGTTTAGGTTTCAGCACTGACACCAATTAGCCATGAAACATTGAGCAAGTCCCTTTAAACACATGCATTTATTAATGCCCCACCTTGTTCCAGAAAGGATTTAGTGTGTCAGCAAGTTACTTAATATCAGGGCTTCAGTTTCCTCATCTCTAAATGAGAGGTTGGTCTAGGCAATCTAAGTTCCTTCCAGCTCTAACACTTTGTGACACTGATTCCAGTAATTTGATGGTCATCTCCACTTAGGAGTCTTGCCAACATTTCATACTTAGAATATGGAAAAAAAAAAAGAAACAAAACAAAACTGAGCTCATGAGAGGCTAAGGCAGGAGGATGGCAAGTTTGAGACCAGCCTCAGCAACTTAGCACGATACTGTCTCAAAATTAAAAAGAAAAAAAAAAAGTTTTTAAAGGCTGGCCAGGGATGTAACTCATTGGTAAAGTGCCCTGGATTCACTCAATTCCCAGCACCACAAAAAATAAAAAAACAGAACCCACAACCCCCCCTGATGTTTATATTACTATCCTACCAGTGACCTAGCACCAAATTGTCATCTTCAACTCCTCTAGCCCTTGACCCTACATCCTACTTAGTGAGTCATATGGACTCCACAAAGTCATTCCCATCCTTCCCTGACTAGGCCCTTTCCTATGACAACATGTCAAAGACTTTGTTGGCTATCTCTGACCCATTCTCAACTTTTGTTTATCTATCTATGTATCTATCTATCTATTTATTTTCCAGAGACGGAGTCTCACTATGTTACTTAGGCTGGCCTTAACTCCTGGGCTCAAGTAGTCTGCTTCCATTTTCCAAGTAGCTCAGGCTATAGGCATGTGCTACCATTCCCAGCTGGACCCTCAGTCTTAATATTACTGAATAAATGTTCTACAGTACAGCTCTCATAATGGCAGTATTCTATTCTAAAACCTCCGTGACTCCCAATTGCCTACAAAATATATTCCAAGTTCCCTGGCTAAGCATGTAATACCCTTTATGACCTGACTGTGCAAATTATCTGCCTCATCTTCTCATGACCCCTGTGTGCTAACTGATCTACAGTATGCCTTGAATGTTCCTGCCTCAGGTAATAACCTACCATAACTTTTCGTGACACCTTTGTCTATTGAAATCCTCTCTGTTGTTGTTGTTGTTGTCGTCGTCTTCTTCTTCTTCTTCTTCTTTAACTCTTTGAGGCATTTATCAGGTTCTGTTATTTATTTTAACTACTTGGTAACTTGTCTTAGGCCACTCCACTCTGCATTAAATTGTTGGTTCCTTTAAGGCAGAGACCATGTTTCATCTTTGTTTCCCCATACATACCTGGCACAATACTAGAAAAAATCTGAATTGAGGTAAATAAGATTGAGACGTAGTCTTAAAATCACTTTTCAACATGTTGTAATAACTAGAAGTTACCTGAACAAATGATGTGCTTTTATAAATGAGAAAAACTAAGATCAGAGAGGCAGAGTTACTTGTCCACCCTTTCCCTTATGCAGTTCTTTGTGCTCCCCTGGTAACCCCACTTGCAGCTTTATCATAAGTAAATATGTTTTCATTTATTTTCTCCTGCCTGGTCACATTGCTCTCTAGATTGTAGTTGGTCATTTTGACACTGGAAAAGTAGATTGGAAGTAGAGTTGATTTGAGCAAATTTGTAGCTATACTGCCTGAATGGACACTAGGTGGCAGCACTGCAGACAGATTCTAATTGAGGTTTCAATGATGGAACTTAGGCTGGAAGGAACCTTAGACATTGTCCACGCCTGTCCCTCATTTTTGCACCAAAAAGGCAAAAACAAACAAGAACAAGAAACAGGATTGGCTTGCTCAGTAATTATTGAGTGGCAAGTGAATCGTCAGCTTAATTGGCATAAGAGCATTGATTCAGAAGTTGTGAAGCAAGTTACTATATGTAAGGGACTATGTTTGCCAGCTGATTATCTAGTATGTGTATTGTTTTGTGTGTCTAGATCAAATGATGCTGTTTGGAAAAATTTATCAGCAGTTGTGTGGCTTACAGAAACTCCCATGGTCATGTGATTCCAGACACTTCTGGGGCTGGCTGAATGCAGTGTTTAATAAGTAAGTAAGTTACTCTAACAAAAGTGAAGAAATGTGGGGATTACTTTGATGAACTCCCATGGTTATTTCTTGTATTTCCAATTTTTTTTAACAATGTGTGCAGTAAATTACTAATTTTGTTTACAAATAAAACAAGAAGCGCTAGGGTTGTGGCTTAGTGATAGAATGCTTCCCTTGCACACATGAGGCACTGGGTTGGATCCTCATAAAAATAAATAAATACAACTAAAAAAAATTAAAAACAAAAACAAATTAAACAGAAAAAAACAATATAATTACAAAATATATTACTGTGATTCTCTGGATTGCAGGATATTAGTGATTTTTCTTATTTATCTTTTTGATGTATTTCAATTTTTCTAAAATGAACATTTATTACTTTTATAATAAGAAAAACTTAGTAAATATAATTTTTAAATATTTTATAGTTGCTTAAGGAATGTTGTTAACTTTTTAAATAAACTATAACGGGAAATCAAGCTTTTAAAAAATGAGTGGGTGACATGCTTAGAAATACCATTTTGAAACTGATATAACTAACCTCCTTATTGCTTAATATAGAATTGTGATTGTTAACTAAAGGAAAAAAGGCATGTGCAGAACCACTTAAGGAGATTAATTTGAAAATTGATTCAAAGTTATTCCCTCTTTTATCATTAATAAAAGTGTTAACTAATTGTAGTCATTCATTCACTGCATAATTACTAAATATCTCTGGTGTTAAGCCCTGTGATATATATGCATCACTGAAGACCCCTGTCTGCCTGATAAACTCATACAAAAAAAAAAAAAACAACACCTTGGGACTTGTTTGCTTCCTACCATGTGTGAGGCCCTGGGTTTGATCCCCAGCACCCCAAAATAACAACAAAATATGCCTTGACAGAATTTACCTGGAGATAAAAACAGAAGCAAAAAAGTTAGCTGTTAGAGCAACAGTTGTTTTTACTTTCATGGAATTCATTAATAACTTCTCTTTCCTTTGTCATTAAGATGAAAATGTGTTGCTTTTCTGTATATTGGTGAATGCAATTAAGAAGCTAATGATTATGTGAAAGCAAACTGCTTCTGTTTTCTTGTTAACAGAGTGGATTACGATCGCATCAGGGATGTTGGCCCTGACAGGGCTGCATCTGAATGGCTATTACGCTGTGGGGCCACAGTGCGCTACCATGGCCAAGAGAGGTGGCAGAAGGACTACAACAACCTCCCAACAGGCCCTCTGCACAAATACAAGATTCAAGCAATCGATGCCACCAACTCTTGTATCATGAGCATTGGATTTGATTACATGGGTAACTGTCTTATTGATTTGTTTATAAGAAATGCAGGTGATTTGCAATGACCATTGTTATAGTCATAGGTATGTCCTTTTTTGCCCATTTCAGTACAATCAGTTTGGCTTTTTCCTGTATTTGGTATTTATTTTCTCCCTAAGTTTGTTTCTACATGTCTTTTTTTTTTTTAATATTTTTTAGTTATACATGGACACATATATTTATTTTGTTTATTTATTTTCATGTGGTGCTGAGGATCGAACCCAGGGTCTTACACGTGCAAGGCCACTGAGCCCCAACCCCAGCCCTATTTCTAATTTCTTTATGATTTAAATTCAAAGCTTTGTCAAACTTCTGCCATTGCAAAACCCGCAATAATACAAGAGTAATTCTATCCACATGGCTTCTGCTCCCATGGACATTTCTTTCTTCTGCATCTGACTATAAAATGGCGCTGTAATAAGCACAACCTGTGTAGTGAAAACCTTATATAGTTAATAAGAGGAACAGCTATACCAGTTCTCATAGAACTTTCACTCCTCAAGTCAGGACAGTCCTGGGCAAACCAAAACCATCATTGATTGTAATGGTAAAGCAGATTCTTTTTTTTTTTTTTTTTCCCTCTTTCCACATTTTTTTATTGGTGCATTATAGTTGTACATATTGATGGAATTTGTTGTTATATATTCATACATGCACACACTATAACACTGGGTCAATATCACTCCCCAGCACATACCCCTTCCCTCATATTCTCCCACTCCCGGGTTCCTTTTCTCCACGGATTTCCCTTTGATTTTCATGAGATCCTTCCCACTCCACCCCACACCTTTCTTCTCCTTTTTCCTTTCAGCTTCCACAGATGAGAGAATACATGCAATCCCTGACTTTCTGAGTTTGGCTAATTTGCCTTCACATAATGGTCTCAAGTTCCATCCGTGGCAGATTCTTAAACTGTATTTTTCCTCCCCAGAGGGCCTAGAGCATGTTGAAAAAATAACACTATGCAAGTGTCATTATATTGAGGATGACTGTTTGCAGAGGCTTAGTCAACTTGAAAAATTACAAAAAAGTCTACTGGAAATGGAAATAATTTCCTGCGGGAATATCACAGACAAAGGCATCATTGCTTTGTGTAATTTAAGGTAGGTGGTCAAAGCCAAAATGGAAACTTGATAATGATAAGGTGAATTAATCAGAATTTAAAGCCCTTGAGGGGTGGTGTTTTCTTTTAGTTCTGAAAAATGTACTGGAATAAAATTACCTCACTTTTATCTATAATTCTTTAAAACAATTAAATTATCAACCTTAATACGTTAAGGCTTCATGGCATTTAAGCAACATTTTTTTTTTTTTAATTAAAGCTACATATTGAATGGTGCCAGCCACAGTAATCCCTCTGTAAGCATTAGCTATTGTGCTTCCTTTCCATCTTTTAAAGACATCTCCCCCAATTCTGTATTTTTGGTATCCTGATATTTGGCATATACCAGTTAGCACACAATTCATTTTTTTTTGTTGTTGTTGTTTTGGTTTGGTTTTGGATACTAGGGATTGAACCCAGACACTTTATCACTGAGCTATGACCCTAGTCCATTTTATTTATATTTTGAGACAGGATCTTGCTAGGTTGCTGAGGCGGTCTTGAACTTGTGATCCTCCTGCTTCAGCTTCTCAGGTTGTTGAGATTACAGGTGTGTGCCACCTCATCCAGCTAGCATTTAATTCTTTAAGTTGCTTTAAGTACCTTTCTGTCTCTGGAGCCTAGAACATGCCTCACACTATAATAAATTTCAAAAACACTGCATTTTGCCAAGCATAGTGGTGCATGTCTATAATCCCAACAGTGTGGGATCACAAATTAAAGGCCTGCTTTGTGAACTTAATAAGACTCTGTCTCAAAATAAAAAATAAAATGGAATGCGGATATAGCTCAGTGGTGGAGCACCCCTTGGTTCAATCCCCAGTACCAAAAAAAAGGGGGGGAAAGAATGCAGCCATTGACATGAGAAAGTTGTTTTATATACTCTTCTACCACCAGTTGCCTAGACCCATATCATGGCCTGGAGCATTTAATTCCAAATGCAAAAGTAGATAATACTAGCAAGGAATATTTAATTCTAAAATTGCAGAATTCTGCATCTCATCAGAATGATGAAGAATGTAAGTTTGTTTAATCAAATCCCTATTTTAGGGATACTGTCAAATTCTGAATTTAGGTGATATAGTTCTGCTTTAATGTGTAATGATCTGAAAATGACCTCAGTATCACAGAAAGTTTGAGAAGTTTTAAACATTAGGACAAAAAGTGCTAGAATGTCCATCTCTTCCATAAGTTGAGGCTTGAAAGCTTTATCTTCTAATAGGAACTTGAGTACTTTTAAGAACCTTACCAGTATTTTTCCATTTTTGCATTAAGGTTTTATTTCACATGCACAGGATATCTATGCCATTTTACACATGTGATTTTAGAAAGATTGTTACAAAGATTCATGTAATTAGTAACAATAATTTCTAAAGCCTGGCTTAGTTTCTAGCATAAATTTCATTTAAAGTAGTCCTCTGAATACTGCTCTAAAAGTCATTTTGAAGGTGTAGGGTGATAGAAATACATTCTGTATGTAATTTTTCATTAAAGTTAATAAATCAAATTCATTTTTAAAGCTATAAAAGTAAAAGCCAAATTGAAGTGACTTTTTTCTTTCTCTATTTGCAGAAACCTCAGGTATTTGTTGTTAACTGATCTTCCTGGAGTAAAAGAAAACAAGAAAGAAAATCTTGTCCAAGTCTTTAAGACGGCATTGCCTTCTCTGGAACTAAAATTGAACTTGAAGTAAAATAATAAGAATCAGTAAGTGTCTTACTTCATTATGAAGGATCACTTGAAATTGTTGATCCTAAAGAGCAACAAATACTATATAATCATCAACAGAAACTGTAGAGAATCTGTCATATATAGAAGATAAATATTAGATGTGACTCACTAAAGTTTCTAAATTGGAAGTGAGAAATTATGTACATTAAATCATTTTAAGAAAAGTGAAAACTAGGTGACAATTTAATTCTAAATATATTCTTCATGTAATATAAGTATCAATATACTAGATATCTCCTGGTATGTTGACTTAGAATTCTTTAAAGTTATTTAACTATACAATGCAGATATTTTTTATTGTATTAAAACAATTTATATTACAACTTTAAATTTATTGAAGCACATTGTTATAAATGCACAATTATGAAAAATTGGAAGCTAAATTACAGATTCATTGAATCAATTTTGCAGAGTAGTCACTGATTGATGAGGCATGCATTTCATATTGCTTCTAGGATTTGCACACATTTCTCATGATCCTGAATTCCTGTGTTCTTGATAGTATATGTATTTTCTTAGAATGAATATTGCTGGTTAATCTAGCATACAAGTTTAAGCTAGTGTTTCATTAAAATTGGACATAGATACTTGATTGAATAGTTTGGTCAATTGGAACAGAACAGAGGGTGACAATTGTAAAGACCAGCAGGCCACGCTGAACTTTTTGTACTTCAATTAAAAAACTGCTTTAAACAGAAAATTGTAATGTACCAATCACAAGCTAGTTTTTCTTGACTTGAATATTTTGGATGCTACCACCTATGAGTTCAAGAGACATCAAAAAGAAGTATAAACACAAAAGTCAATTTATATCTAGAAAACAGTAATAAAGAAGGAAAGAAGGTCATAAATAGATAAAACAAGTCTTTATTTTTACCTGCATGAAATAGCTCTTATTCTATTATTATTTATGTCAATTTGTTAATGGATTTCTGTATGTTTGGTTTGAACATTAAGCTATTGAATATAAACTTAACTAGAAATTATTTTAAAATAAACACTTTCTATGATGAATCTTTCAGATTGAAAAATTAAATTTAATTGTGTTTAATAAGGAAATATTCACTTTTCATGGATAAAATGAACTATCTTATGGAAAGCATAAAATGATATAGCATTTATTAATAGTGATTCCATACTGAATAAAAGGATAATAGATATGGTTGAATTGAGCATATGCATAAATTTAATAGACTTCATTAGAGAAAAATGAGCCCTTTTTCTTAGGTTTGTTTCATCACTGTGTGGTGAGTCAACTGATTGACCACAATTTAGTCTGGAACTACTTTTCTAAATGTTTTTCTGTAAAACTATTGGATGAATATAATCATCTGCTTCCATAAAATACATTTTCTTGGATTAAGGGAAAAAAGAAAAAAAATTTATTGACAAAAGTTTGATGTCCTTATCATTTGAGTCAAGACTGTGTTACAAGAATTAAATAATACTGAGACAATTATTTAACCCACTATCTGTTCTATACAAGAAGCTACATATTAGGAAGCCTTAAGGCTGGCTAGGTCACCAGAATTATTGAATAGATGACAGAATTTAGTGGATTAATTAGCAGTAAGTGAATAGGTTCAAGTGCTGTCATGAAGAAAATTAGGAGCACATCAACCAGAAGTGGTGTTGAGTTCTAAGAAATAAACATGGAGCTTCATATTATTCCTGTGTACAGGACACAAAGATTAAAAGCTTTATGATTAGGAGCAGTAGGCCAAATCAGAGCTAATGCTAAGTCTCACTGTACAAACTAAGAATCCTCAACAGAATTCCTTTCCCTCCCCCTACATACACTCTACTGGGGATTAAACTGAGGGGCACTCTCTGGGCTATATCCCCAGCCCTTTTTATTTTATTTTTGGGGAGGATCTCACTAAATTGCCCAGACAGTTATAATCATCTGCTTCCATATTTCTTGGGTTAAGGAGTAGGGTGATAGAAATATATAATGTATTTCTATCACAAACTTGTCTCAGCCTCCTGGGTAGCTGGGATTACAGACATGCACCACCACATCCTGCTGGACTACTTTCTTTTAACTTATATTTGTTAGGATTGTGTTATATAACACACACACATGCACATGTGTGCATGAGTATATACATATGTGTGTATATGTATTTTTTGTGTATATATATATATATTATATAAGAAGATATGTCAGGGAAAACATCAGTCAACACCTGTTATGGTTTGGATGTGAGGTGCCCCCAAAAGCTCATGTGTGAGACAATTTGATAAGATTTAGAGGAGAAATGATTGGGTTATGAGAGCCTTAACCCAAATGGTGAATTAATCCCCTAATAGGGATTTACTGAGTGGTAAGTGAAGGTGGGTATGGTGTGGCTGGAGGAGGTGGGTATTAGGGCCATGCCTTTAGGGTATATATTTTTTATCTGGTGAGTGGAATTTCTCTCTGCTGCCTGATCATCTTGTGAGCTGTTTTCCTCTGCCATGATGTTCAGCTTCACCTCAAGCCCTGAGGAATGGAGCCAGCTGCCTATGGACTAAGACCTCTGAAACTGTGAGTTCCTGAATAAACTTTTCCTCTTCCACAATTTTTATGGGGAGGTTACAGCAGCAAAAAAAAAAAAAAAGCTGACTAAAACAACATCCTATTATCTTTCATGACTCAAGTAAAAGTTCATACGCAGTTTCTTCTAAAACCCAGATCACTATGCATTTCTACCCACAGAACTATCTCCAAAGCCTGAGGCTAAGCTGGAGAGAATAAAGTACTTATTATTTTCAGGCTGACAGATTCAGTCCCTGTGAAGCCTGTAGGTCTTGTTCTACCCCTTGACCACCTTGGTCAGCTGCCAGGCTTCATGCCATTGTTTTCAAGAGGAATTAGGTGAACAAGTGTGGACAGATTATAATAAATCCATCTTGCTGCAAAAGTGACTAAGATGCATCCTTTACTAAAGGTAAAGACAAAAGTATTTTCAAGAAATGTATAAACATAATCATTAAATGTATAGGCAATCACAAAATCTTTATATTAAACATAAGATTTTAAATACTTTGAATAACTTAAAAAAAACTTTAAAACAAAAATCAAGAGACAGAGCAAGCAGGAAATGGAATTTTAAACATTTTGATTTCAAAAACTACAACTCTGCTTACATATGATGTCAAACTATCTGCAAGGCAGAAGTTAGGACAGAGATCCAAGGAAATACATATGGACATTTTGTAATTCATTTTTCATATGTGGCATACAGTATAACTAAAGCATAAATCTTTTTGACATCATCTAATTTTTCTAGAGGTATGGGCAGTGGATATAGTTTATATTCTGTCCATAAGCTCAGCTTCTTAGATAAACAAAAATACAAGTGAAACTCCAAGTTTTTTTTTTTTTTTTTCTATTCTGGACACCATCATCACGCATGGAAGACTGAATCTGGAATTTCCCTTCATATCTTGCCAAGTGGCTTCCCAGTTGTTTATATTTTCTCCTGGGGTGTTTTCAACACTGTGCTTGTTTTTAACTAAATGTGTAAGTTTTCTTTTCTTCAACTTATTGGTCACTTCTTCCTTTACCACCAATCTCCTAGCTTCTTAAATGTTTGGAAAATGGTAGTTAAATCTCTTGGTATTACAGTAGTACTTCTTATTCTCCAAAGCTGGAAGGATGTTATTGCTAGTAAGCTGAGGTAAGTACTGCAACTGAAAAGACAAAACCAGAAATAGATTCAAAACAATGCCATGCATTGTTTTCATTATTTAGAATACATCACAAAAGAGGTAATTAAGCAACTTTTCAGCACAAATACTTTTTTTGGCACAAATGTAGAACCTGAGAGACAAAAGGTTTTAATTTGGTCTTTGCTTTTCCTTTTAAAGGTTTGTTTTACATTAAAAAGCAAATACACACATTAAAGAGAATTTAGAGAATATTAAAAAAATAAAATCTACAATGTTAACATTATTGTGAAATAACATAGGTTTATAGGAGTTGAGAGCTTGCTGGGACCTTAGGAATAATTTAAACCAATTCCCTGCCTTAGAGCAGAGAAAACTGATGTCCAGAGCATGAAGGAAATTTGCCTTTTATTCCCTTAAAAAGGCAAAACTACTTCCTTTGAATTTTCAGAAAATTAAATTTATTGTCAATGTCAAATGAAAGTAAGGAGAACATACTTTTTTTCTTTTTTTTTTTTTTTGGTATTCTATTATAAGGCCTTAAGCATCTGAAAAGAAGGTACTTCTTTTAAACCAAACAATCAAATCCTTCAGGACTTAAAAGCAATATACCAAACAGGTTCCACTATCCTTTCAAGGAGAAATACTTCCATCAGGTTTCTTTGCTCTTCAACACAAAGTAACAGTGAGATGCGGATAACCCTCCAGTCAGGAGGTGGGGAATCTATTTCTGGCCTGTTTTGCTATCTGGGTCATATATAATAAAGAATGAAACTAAAACATTCCTAATGCTGTGACTGTGTGTGGCCTATCTCAGGGCCCTGGAGATCATATAGTACCTATTCCTAATGAACTCTCCACCTCTTCCCTTCTCCAAACCTCACACACAATATGCATTCAAGATGAATGCATATACTGATGCATTTAATGCAGTGGAAGCTGCAAATGCAAAAACTAAAGTAAGATAGTTTATAGCTTAAGGAGTGCCTAGGTATATTCAGAAGTGACCAAGAGCAACCAGTCATTCTTAGCTGTGGTTCTAACTATAGACCAGAGATTGTTACAGCTTTTGCCTTCTGACAAAATATAAGGTCATTTTACAAATCAAGATTTTCCACAGGCTCCCAGTGTGCAGTTTGTGTGCTATTCTCTGATTCAATGTGCTGTCCCGTTGAAAGCACTGCAAACATTCATTGCTGTAGTAACCCTAGCCAGCTCTGATAATTAAAGGATCAGGAGAAAAAATAGTTCCCTTTTTTGGATAAGCCTGGAATGTTTATTCTGAAGGTAAACATGATGACAAAGAACTTCCTGGATAGATTTGATTTCATTCCCAGTGCAAGAAGCACATTCAGCTGGACTTACACTGACGTACCTGATTGAGATCTGTGCTCATGTACATCAGAAACCCTTGCCCCTGTATGGCAGCAGGAAACAACAGGGCAAGGACCTCAGAAGATGGGTATCTTTGGGGTTGATAGATGGTGTGACCTGTTTCTTAGGGCTGGAATAAGGGTGCTAGAGCTGTTAGCCACAATTGCC